CTCTGAAGATCCAGTGGAAGAAGAGGCAGCTGCTGTTCCTCTGGGGAATCCAGTGGAGAAGCTGTGCTGGTGTCTCAAAACCTCTGGATTATATCTGGGTAGGAATGCTTGGCTCCTCCCTCTGGGCTCACATCTCCCAATGGGACGCTGTAGTTCTTATCAGCCATGCAGTGACATTCAGTAGCTGTTATCAGCAATGTCCCCTCCTGAGGAAGGTGTGAATGTGATCACTCAGAGAGAGAGATAAGGCAAAACTGCCCACTTGACAAAAGACAGCTGCCATACGGATGGTGATAGAAAACATCTTGCCTTGCAACCTGGAACAGCGCCCCAGGCCCACAGGGGCTGCTCAACCCCTCTGCCCTGGGCTGGGAGGAGCGAGGGCTCAGCCCTCACACTGGGGACAGAGCCACTCATTCCTCAGGGTGACTGCAAATGTGCTCTGCAAACTCCAGAGGAGATCTTCCAGCTTCGCCTGGGAGTCCTGAGGACAACCCTGGGGACAAAGCAGCACTGCCACCCCCCTGAGGAGCAGGGAGAGGCTGCTGGGAGGCTCCGATGGAGATGTCCCTTAGTGATTGCACCTGGGGCTGACCCTGACCCTGCCCAGCTTAATGGTGATTAAGCTGAGTGACAATTAGCAGAGTTTTCACTTGGAGGCTCTTAGCAGGGACACCTCCCACTGTCCCAGGTCACTCCCAGCCCTGCCCAGCCTGGCCTTGGGCACTGCCAGGGATCCAGGGGCAGCCACAGCTGCTCTGGGCACCCTGTGCCAGGGCCTGCCCACCCTCACAGGGAACAATTCCTCATTCCCAATATCCCATCCAGCCCTGCCCTCTGGCAGTGGGAGCCATTCCCTGTGTCCTGTCCCTCCATCCCTTGTCCCCAGTCCCTCTGCAGCTCTCCTGGAGCCCCTTCAGGCCCTGCCAGGGGCTCTGAGGTGTTCCTGGAACTTCTCCTCTCCAGGTGAGCACCCCCAGCTCTCCCAGCCTGGCTCCATCCTTGGGGCATCTCCATGGGCTCCTCTGGACTCTCTCCAGCAGCTCCAGCCAGGTTTTCCCTGTGCTGCAGCCCCAGGGTTGGTAGCAGCAAAAGCTGCACCAGGCTCTGAGCAGGCAGGGAGGAAATAAAAGATTCATTCCATTGTCTGCTCCTGAATTCCCGGGGTCTGAACCCTTGGAGTGTGGATGCTGCCCTCCTGCCAAGGCCCTGCGGCAGAGCAGGGCACAAAGAGCCCGGCCCCGGACAGGATGTGAATAGCGATGAATTTCACAGAAGGTCTTGATCTCATGTTTAAACCTTCCGGCGTGAATGAGGCGAGAATCCTCACGGAAACCGAGGAGAGCCGGTCAGCTTTGAATCCCGGTTTGCATCCCGGGGGCTGCTGCAGCTGCCGAGGGCTCTGAGCGAGAGCCAAATCCAATGGAGCCTTTGTGAGCCGGGAACACTCATTTATCACACATTTATCACCGCTGGGAATGTGGTGAGTGCTGCAACACCGCTGGAGTGACCTTTGTGTGTGATGGAGTGGGGTCCCTGCCTGTCATCGCCACGGGGGATGGAAATGGGGTGGAAATGGGGTGGAAGTAGGATGGAAACAAGCTGGAAGTGGGGTGGAAATGGGGTGAAAATGGAATAGAAATGAGATGGAAATGGGGTGGAAGTAGGATGGAAATGGGATGGAAGTAGGATGGAAATGGGGTGGAAGTGGCATGGAAATGAGATGAAAGTGGGGTGGAAATGAGATAGAAATGGGGTGGAAATGGGGTGAAAATGGGATAGAAATGGGATGGAAATGGATACTCCCGTTCTGCAAAGCTGACCAAAGCCCCAGGAGCTGCCCCAGGGGCAGCTCTGGAGATGGCTCAGCCCCAGGGAGCCGTGTCCCTGCCCATGCTGCTCCCTGGCCACTCACATGCTGAGGATTTCTCTCCCACAGCCTTTCCTGGGAAGTTTGCTGCATAACTGGGAGTCGGGATGTGTTGGTGAGTGCTTTGTTCTGGGAATTGCTTCTGGATGGGAGCAAAACCCCTTGACTAGCAGATGCTGCAGTAATGCTTACGGATGGATTCCCCCATCAATAATGGATAGATAAAGTGAAATCTGCCTTCAGGAGGTGTTGCTGCTGGTAACAGTGCTTGGGGAAGGGATTTAGCCCTGGAGATTCTCTGGCTGGGTGTTTATCCCTCAGTGACCCTGGCTTTTCTCACAGGGAATGGGGACAGGACCAGAGGAAATGGCCTCCAGCTGGACCAGAGGAGGTTGGGCTTGGATATTGGGAAAGTTTATTAATTGAAAGAATGATCAGGCACTGGAACAGGCTGCTGAGAGCAATGCTGGGGTCATCAGACATGGAAGTGTTCCAAAAACTTGTAGATGTGGTGTTTTAGGGACCTAGGTTAATGGTGGCCCTGGCAGTGCTGCCTCATTGGACTCGATGATCTCAGAGGGCTTTTCCAACCTGAACAATTCCATGACTTTCCCATGCAGGGCCCTGGAGGATGCTCTCCTCTCCCTGAGCACCCCTTCAGCTCTCAGGCTGCCCAAGAAGCACCAACACCTTCAGTGCCTGCGACCACTCTGGGACAATTGTCCCAGCTCTGATGGTGAACGTCACCTTTAATTAGTAAATAAATCAATTTACCAGTCGTGTGTCCTCAGTGACAGCTGTGTGCCAAGCCCACCCTGGCAGCACAGCAGCTGCTGGGAATGGGGTGCTGTCCCAGCCCCTCTTCCCGAGGCTCTGAGCACCCCAGGGATCAGGATCTGACCCTGGCAGAGCCTGGAGTGCTGCAGTCACTATGGAGACCAACCTGGATGCATCCATATGGAGAGGAACAGCTATGGAGACCCACCTGGGTGCATCCATATGGAGACCCACCTGAATGCATCCATATGGAGAGGAACAGCATGGAGTCCCACCTGGATGCATCCATATGGAGAGGAACAGCTATGGAGACCCACCTGGATGCATCCATATGGAGAGGAGCAGCTATGGAGACCCACCTGGATGCATCCATATGGAGACCCACCTGGAGTGCATCCATATGGAGAGGAGCAGCTCATCCCTCATGTCCCCATTCCAGGGACATGGCAGATAATCCCATCCAGATGGACCTCAGCAGGGCAGTAACATCCAGAGTTTGGGATTCCTCTCTAGGGAATGGCATCCAGTGCTGCAGCCCTGGGCTCCCCCCAAATCCAGCATCCTTGTGGGATGAGCCCAGCCCTGCTCCTGCTGCCTTTGGATGGGCTCACACAGGGACATCTGTGGGGTGCAGGTGTGCAGTGTCAGTCTGGGAAGGGGGACCTGGCTGGAATCATCTCCCATGAGTGCCCCAGGGCTGTGGCATCGTGGAATCCTGGAATGGTTTGGGTTGAAGGGACCTTAAAGCCCATCCAGTGCCACCCCTGCCATGGCAGGGACACCTCCCACTGTCCCAGGCTGCTCCCAGCCCTGCCCAGCCTGGCCTTGGGCACTGCCAGGGATGCAGGGGCAGCCACAGCTGCTCTGGGCACCCTGTGCCAGGGCCTGCCCACCCTCACAGGGAACAATTCCTCATTCCCAATATCCCATCCAGCCCTGCTCTCTGGCAGTGGGAGCCATTCCCTGTGTCCTGTCCCTCCATGCCTTGTCCAAAGTTCATGATCTGTCAATGAGCAGACACCTGGTGTTGGTTCATGCTGGGGGAGGCACCTGAGGGCTCATTTTCTCCCCAAACATCAAATCCTCTCCCTGGGCTGCTCCCCAGGGCGTTGTTTGTCACTTGGAAAAGCAGGCACCTCTCGCATGGCTGCAGCCACAGCTGTGACTCCTCATCCCCCTGGCTCCTGTGGCTGCTCCACTGCAGCAGCTTTCAGACAAACATCTTATTTTGCAAAACCAATGTGATTTCTGGTGCACGCAGCCAGCTTGGGGAATGATCCCCGCTGCTGCAGGGCAGGGTGGGCACCAGCATTGCAGGAGGGAGCACAGCTGCACTGGGAGGGACAGGGAGCCTGGAAGGGCTGCACTGGTGATTTGGGGGCCTCAGGGGGATCTCCTGCTCCCCTGGTGGTGAAATCACCTTCCCCAGCACAGAGCCCTCCCTCCCACTAGCACGGGCTGGGGAGCAGCAGGACCAGGGCACCAGGCTTGTCCCATGGCTTGTCCTGCCCTTGGGGCTCCCCTGGCTGGGTGACAGGGCGCATGGATGTCACAGGCTGTGCCCTCTGCTGGATCCACTCCTGTCCCCAGGATCTTCTGGTCCCCAGGGGGGAGGTCCCCACACCCCCCCTGCCTGCACAGGGGACAGCCAGGGGGACACCGAGCCGGGCAGGGGAAGGACGTGCCCCGGGGCTGTGTGATGGAGGGACGGGGGCTCTGCGGAGACTGAAGGGGGCTGGATCCTTGATCCGCTCCCTGTGCCCCGCGGTTTGAGGGCTGGGCCCCCATCCCTGTCCCCGGGTGATGCAGCTGGGGACCCTCAGTGGGGCTGGACCTGTTCCCCATCCCTGTCCCCGTGTGATTCCAGCAGGGACTCCCGAAGGGGCTGGACCTGGACCTGGTTCCCCATCCCCGTGTGACTCATCAGGGACCCCGGCAGGGCTGTGCCCCCATCCCCGTGCGATTCCCGGGGGGCTCCGTGCTGCAGCTCCGCGGCCGTGGGGGCGGCGGCGCCGGGACCCCCCGATTCCCGCCGGGCCCCCGCAGCCCCGGGAGGCGGTGCCGCCCCCGAGCTCCCCCCGGAGCCCCCCCAGAGCCCCCTCCCGTCGGGGCACGGCGCTCGCAGGAGGCGGCTCCGCCGCAGACGCCGCTCGGTCACCGCCGCGTTCACCTCGCGGAGCCGGGGCTGCCCGTGACAGCGGGAACAGCGGGAACAGCGGGACACCGGGGACAGCGGGACACCGGGAACAGCGGGAACAGCGGGACACCGGGGACACCGGGAATACCTGTAACAACGGGAACAGCGGGAACACGGGGGCTGCCAGAAACAGCGGCACTGCCGAGGCTGCCGGGAGCACCGGGAGCAGCGGGACACCGGGACTGCCGGTCCCGCGGAGCCGGGTAAGCGGGCAGAGGGAGCGGCGGAGCCCCGGGACCCCGCAGGCACCGAGCGGGACCGGCTGGGGACCCTCGTGGGGACGAACCGGGAGGTCTGAGCTGAGGGGGGCCGGGCTGGGATCGGGCTGGGAGCGATTGGGAGCCCCGGGGGTGGCGGAGCCGCTCCTGCCCCGAGCCCCGGCCGGGCTGCGAGGGGTCTGGGCCGGCGGGACCGGGCGGGACGTGCTGGGGCACAGCGGGAATGGGGGTCCCAGCCCGGCCGGGGGTGCGGGCCCAGAGAGGTCTTGCTGCCCCCTGTCCCTGTAGCCCTTCCCCGCTCACCCAGGGGTGGCACTGCGGTGGCACTGGGGTGTCACCGCTGTCACGGTGCCGTTTGCTCCCCTCGGGACTGGAAGCTGAGCAGGCTCATCCAGACGTGAGATCCATTTACACCCCGGCTGCTCTGCCTGGCGCACCCCGAGGTTTTGGATCCCAGGACATGGCCAGGACCTTCTCCTCCGCTGGCTTGGGGAGCAAATCTCTGCCCCCACCGGGTGTGGGTGGCGGCAGAGCCGAGCCGCCCCCGTTCCTCCATCTCTCCCCAGGATCGGGGTTCCCGGCCCGGTTTGAGACGCGCCCCGGCCCTGGGAGCACCGGTCAGGCTGGGAGCGGCCATGGGGGACACGCCTGGAGCCGGATCCCTGCGGAGCCTCGTCCAGCTCGCCTGGCTGTGCCTCTTCTCCTCCGTGCCGGTGAGCGCCGGGCTGGGCCGGGGCAGCGGGGTTGGCATTGCCGGGCTCTGACCCCGGGGGCGGCCCCATCGCGGCCCCATCCCGGCTCCATCCCGGCTCCATGCCGGCCCCATCCCGGCCCCATCCCGGCCCCATCCCGGCTCCATGCCGGCCCCATCCCGGCCCCATCCCGGCCCCATCCCGGCTCCATGCCGGCCCCATGCCGGCCCCATCCCGGCTCCATCCCGGCCCCATCCCGGCCCCATCCCGGCTCCATGCCGGCCCCATCCCGGCTCCATGCCGGCTCCATGCCGGCCCCATCCCGGCTCCATGCCGGCTCCATCCCGGCCCCATCCCGGCCCCATCCCGGCTCCATGCCGGCTCCATCCCGGCCCCATCCCGGCTCCATCCCGGCTCCATGCCGGCCCCATGCCGGCCCCATCCCGGCCCCATCCCGGCTCCATCCCGGCCCCATCCCGGCCCCATCCCGGCTCCATGCCGGCCCCATCCCGGCTCCATGCCGGCTCCATCCCGGCCCCATCCCGGCCCCATCCCGGCTCCATGCCGGCTCCATCCCGGCCCCATCCCGGCTCCATCCCGGCTCCATGCCGGCCCCATCCCGGCCCCATCCCGGCTCCATCCCGGCCCCATCCCGGCCCCATCCCGGCTCCATGCCGGCCCCATCCCGGCTCCATGCCGGCTCCATGCCGGCCCCATCCCGGCTCCATGCCGGCTCCATCCCGGCCCCATCCCGGCCCCATCCCGGCTCCATGCCGGCTCCATCCCGGCCCCATCCCGGCTCCATGCCGGCTCCATGCCGGCCCCATCCCGGCTCCATGCCGGCTCCATCCCGGCTCCTGCCCAGCCCCATCCCGGCCCCATCCCGGCCCCGGCTCTGGCCGCGCTTCACGGGGGCTCTGCAGGCTCTGACCCAGCTCCGGGCTTGCAGCACGGCGGGGCCAAGGTGCTGGAGAAGACCTTCGAGGAGTGGCTGCGGTACCGTGACGAGTGCCTGAGGAGGATGGCGAGCGAGCCCTACCCGGCAGGTACCGGCTCGGGGGCACAGAGCCAGGGCTTGGCTTGTCCCTCTCCAGCGTCCCCTGCTCCGGTCACCCACGGGACTGACAAGGAGCTCCACATGTCAGATGGGGACCCAGGGCTGGGTGTCCCGGGGGCTGAGGCTGCTGTGGGGCACACGGGCCCATTTCAGGGTGGCATCAGCCCCCTCAGGGGTGCTGGGATAGCAGGGCTCGGTGTGTCTGTGCCACCAGTCTGAGCATTGGCTGTCCCTGTCCCTGTCCCTGTCCTCGGAAGGGCTGTTCTGTAACAGGACATTTGACATGTACGCCTGCTGGCCCGACGGGAGCCCCGGCACCGCTGTCAACGTCTCCTGCCCCTTCTACCTGCCCTGGTTTGAGAAAGGTGAGGATGCCCTCCTGCCATCCCCGAGCTGGAAGCCGGGGCTGAGCCCTTCTGGGGCTGCAGAGGTTCTCTGGGCTCCTCTCCTTTCCCCTGACAGGGGCAGGGGACCCATGAGCAGAGCCAGGGTGAGGGGACACCGGGGCTCCGAGCAGAGCCGGGGTGAGGGGACACCGGGGCTCCGAGCAGAGCCAGCTCTGCCCGTGCCTGCCCTGGAGCAGGGCCCTGAGCAGGGCAGCTCCCTCATCCCCGGAGAGGGGCTTGGGGAGCCTGGGGCACTGTGCCTGTGCCTGGGGAGCCTGGGGCACTGTGCCGGTGCTTGGGGAGCCTGGGGCACTGTGCCTGTGCTTGGTGCCCGCAGTGAAACACGGGCTGGTGAGCCGCAGGTGTGGCACCGACGGCCAGTGGGTGACAGTGAACGGCAGCCAGCCCTGGAGGGACTATTCCCAGTGCGAGGATGAGCTGGAGGTCACCGCTGAGGAGGTGGGACACGGCTGGGATGGCCGGGGCAGCCTGGCCGGGGTGGACACGCACTCACCTGGGGCTGTGCTCCCCTGCAGGAAGGCGCCCGGCGGCTCATGGTGAGCTTCAAGGTGCTCTACACCGTGGGCTACTCGCTGTCGCTGCTCACCCTCATCTCCGCCCTGCTCATCCTCACGGCCTGCAGGTAGGAGCCGGCCCTGCCCCTGCTCCCTGCCCGCATGGCGGCCCCGCCTGACGCCGCTCCCGCAGGAACCTGCGCTGCACCAGGAATTACATCCACGCCAACCTGTTCGCCTCCTTCGGGCTGCGCGCCACCTCCGTGATGGTGAAGGACGCGCTGCTGGAGCGGCGCTGGGGCGTGGAGCTGCTGCAGGTGGCGGACTGGGAGGCTCTGCTGAGCCACGAGGCGAGTGCCGGGCTGGGGACAGCGTGGGACCCTCGCCCCGGGCAGGGCTGGGGGGATTGGTGCTCATGCAGCCTCAGAGCCCTGCTGGGTGAGCTCTGGGGGTGCCAGTGCTGCCCGTGCACCTGATGGATGAGGTCTTGGGGTACCTGTGCATGGTCCTGGGGTGCCCATGCACCTGATGGATGAGGTCTTGGGGTGCTGTGTGTGGTCCTGGGGTGCCCATGCACCTGATGGATTAAATCTTGGGGTACCTGTGCGTGGTGCTGGGGTGCCCATATCCCTGATGGATGAGGTCTTGGGGTGCTGTGTGTGGTCCTGGGGTGCCTATGCACACAGTGGACACGCTTTTGGGCTGCCTGTGCTGCCCATGACCCAGCAGGTGAACTCTTGGGGCACCTGTGCACTCGCTGGGTGAGCTCTGGGGGTGCCAGTGCTGCCCGTGTGTAGGACACAAAACAACACGAGCACACACACTGCTGCTCTCAAGGTGAAGAAAAGGGAAGTTTATTATCCGACTCTAACATTTATAGATTTCTAAAAGTGCCAGTGGGTTGGAGGGTGAAAGTGCCACCTCTCCAATGACACTGGACAAACCAACAGTTTATTAAATTTCTCTTCTATAAAATAATGCAAAGCAATGAGTTATTTACAGAAAGTGTGTGAGAATGTAAACAGAAAGTTCGTTACAAGAATGTAACCATCAGAAGGCTTAGAAAATCTTAAAAAATCAGGGTGACAGCCATGCACGTGATGGATGAGGTCTTAGGGTGCTGTGCATGGCGCTGGGGTGCCCATCCACACGGTGGGCACGCTTTTGGGGTGCCTGTGCTGCCCATGACCCAGCAGGTGAAGTCTTGGGGTACCTGTGCACCTGCTGGGTGAGCTCTGGGCCTGTGTGGCACCTGAGGGATGAGCCCTTGGTGCCACCAGTGGCCCTGCTGGGTGAGCTCTGGGGGTGCCTGTGCAGCCTCTGGGTGAGCTCTCAGGTACCTGTGGCTCCATGGGGGGGCTCTCAGGGTTCTTGGGGTGCCTGTGCAGCACCACCCCCCCGTGGATGAGCTCCTGGGGTGCCCGTGGTGACCATGGGGTGGCTCTCCCGTGGCAGGCAGCGCTGGGGTGCCGTGCAGCGCAGGTGCTGATGCAGTACTGCATCCTGGCCAACCACTACTGGTTCCTGGTGGAAGCTGTCTACCTCTACAAGCTGCTCATCGGGGCCGTGTTCTCCGAGAAGAATTACTACAGGCTCTACCTCTACCTGGGCTGGGGTAGGAGCCCCCCGGGCACGCTGTGGGGAGGGGACAGTGCCCGGTGTCACCTGGGGGCACTGCTGGGATGGGGACAGTGCCCGGTGTCACCCGGGGCCACTACGGGGATGGGGACAGTGCCCGGTGTCACCCGGGGGCACCAGGGTCCCAGGAGGGTGCGGGGTGGGGGCTCTGCCACCCCGGGGTCCCCCCAGCACGGGGGTGGTTTCTCAGCTCAGGAGGGTGCTTGGTTTTACAGGGTTTGCTGTGTGACTTGCAGGGACCCCCGTGGTGTTCGTGGTGCCCTGGATGGCCGCCAAGTACCTGAAGGAGAATGCGGAGTGAGTGGGGATGGATGGACAGGGATGGAGGGATGGATGGATGGATGGATGGACAGGGATGGAGGGATGGATGGATGGATGGATGGATGGATGGATGGAAGGATGGATGGATGGATGGATGGATGGATGGATGGATGGATGATGGATGGATGGATGCATGGAGGGATGCATGGATGCATGGAGGGATGGATGGATGATGGACATGGATGGATGGATGGATGGATGGATGGATGAGGGATGGATGGATGGATGGATGGATGGATGGATGCATGCATGCATGCATGCATGGATGCATGCATGCATGGATGCATGGATGGATGAAAGAAGGGATGGATGGAAGGGGGTCTTGCTGGGATGCTCAGAGGCTGCTGAGGGTCCCTGAGCCCCCGGCTGGGTTGGAAAGCTCTTGGATGATGCTGCCCCAGCCCATGGTGATGATGCTGTCTCTCCTCCCCTCTCTCAGGTGCTGGGCCCTGAATGAGAACATGGCTTACTGGTGGATCATCCGCATCCCCATCCTGCTCGCCTCCCTGGTAGGGAACAGCTGCCAGCCCTGGGTCTGTTTGGACAGCAGCAGCTCAGCCCCTGGGCCTGGGAAGCTTCCAGCAGAGGCCAGGAGGCAGAGCTGGCCTGCAAGGACCAGCCAAATGCACAAGGGGTTCAGCAGTTTGCTGACCCCTGGTTCTGGGTTCATGAAGGAAGCTGGGGTGCTGAACCCCAGGGAAAGGGGCTGGGGGTGGCTCTGCTGCTTCCTATCTGGGATTTTGGGATGGCAGGAGGGGAGGAAGGGCAGCAGCAGCCCCGGCAGCACAGGGGGTGCCATCTCCTGCTGGGTGTCACAGCCAGGGCGGGAGTGCTGGGCTCTGTGTGCCCCTGCCCTGTCTCCCCCTCCCAGATCAACCTGCTCATCTTCATGCGGATCCTCAAGGTGATCCTGGCCAAGCTCCGGGCCAACCAGAAGGGCTACGCCGACTACAAGCTGAGGTGGGCCACACCCCTACCCTGTCACAGCGTTCACAGGGGTTCTGGGATGAGGGAAGAGATGAGGATCTGACTCCATGTTTCAGAAGGCTTGATTTATTATTTTATGCTATATATTACATTAAAACTATACTAAAAGAATAGAAGAAAGGATTTCATCAGAAGGCTGGCTAAGAACAGAATAGCAAAGAATGATAACTAAGGTTTGTGGCTCGGGCTCTCTGTGCAAGCCAGCTGGGCTGTGATTGGCCATTAATTACAAACAGCCAACATGGGCCAATCACAGATGCACCTGTTGCATTCCACAGCAGCAGATAATCAATGTTTACATTTTGTTCATGAGGCCTCTCAGCTTCTCAGGAGGAAAAATCCTAAGGAAAGGATTTTTCATAAAAGATGTCTGCGACACCACCCCTCCCCGGGCCTCTCCTCCACCACCTTCAACGACCGCCCTGGGATTAACTGGGAGTTTTGCTGTTACTGTCCCTTTACTGTCCCCCAGGCTGGCCAAAGCCACCCTGACCCTCATCCCCCTCTTCGGGATCCACGAGGTCGTTTTCATCTTCGCCACGGACGAGCAAACCACGGGCATCCTGCGCTATGTCAAGGTGTTCTTCACCCTCTTCCTCAACTCCTTCCAGGTGAGGGGGGAGTGAAACAAATCCTTGCTCTGAGCACACCACGGAGCAGAGGTCAGGGGCTCCCTCTCTGGGCTCGCTCTCCTGTGGTGCTTCCATGGGAATGGTGGCACTGCCTCTGCCCTTGAGGGCGTGCTGCTGCCTCCTGTGCTCTCTGGGCAGTGCCGCCATGGGGACCCTGGCCCTAAAAACACCCAGGAGTGGCCTGGGGGGAGCCCAAGCCCATCCCAGCCCCAGGAGAGGGACAGCAGGGAGGGGGCTCACTGCTGGCTCTCCCTGCAGGGCTTCCTGGTGGCTGTGCTGTACTGCTTTGCCAACAAGGAGGTAACATCCCTGGCCCTGTCCTTGTATCTGTCCCTGTCCTTGTCCCTGTCCTGGCACCTCCTGCCCACCCCACCCTGTGCCTGCAGGGAGGGCACAGCCATGGATAAGCCCCTTCTCCCTCCCCTCCATGGCAGGTGAAGTCTGAGATGAAGAAGAAGTGGCAGCTGTGGAAGCTCGACCACCCAGTGCTCTGCTGTGCCCAGTGAGGGGGTGACCAGCCAGGGCAGAGGGGCTGCTGGCCACGATGGCCACAGGGCCTGGCTGCAGGGCAGGAGGCTGCAGGGAGCTGTGCTGGGCAGTGCCCACCCGGGATGGCCAGGCTGGCACGGGTGTCTGGCTGTGCCACACCGGAGCTGCTGGAAGGGACATCCCTGCTGTGACCCGAGGGGAGGTGACACTTGTCAGGCATCACTGTGTGGGCAGCCCTGCTGCTTCTCCCCTGCCTGGCAGCCTCCCCAGGACACCTCCCGCACACAGGGAACCCCTGGGACACCCACACCCCCCTGGGCACCTGTGGGACCACAGCAGGCAGGGGCAGCCTGGCCCTGCAGGGGCAATGGGAGATGCTGCCACACCCTGGGCCACACCACAGCCTGTCCCTGTCCCCGTGTCCCAGCCCAGGACCATCTCACCAGGCATCCCCAGCCACCCTGTGAAGCTCTGCACAGCGAGGGGCTGCTCCTGCTCCCACCCTCATCACTGACAGAGCAGCAGCTCCCATCCCATCCTCACTGCCCTCCAGCTGCACAAACCCCTGGTGCCCCTGCCACGGGCAGAGCCAAGGATGGAGCCCCAAAAACACCTGGGAGTGAAGGATTTGAGAGCAGCAGCTCACTGGGGCAGAGCCCAACCTCCCCCATGCCAGGATCAGCGCCCAGCCTCCCCTGCTCTGCGGGGGGAAAGCTGGATTGCCAGCCTGGCAGGAACTCAGGAACCAAAGGCTAAAATCCTGGCAGTTTGCTTTCCATGGGGGTGCCAGAGCATCCTCCCCTCTGGCCAAGCAGGCTGTGGGTCCTGGGAAGCCCAGGAGGAAGGGAAGCAGCCAAGGCGTGGTTTGAGCAGGGCTGCTCCTGTCCTGAGGGAGCCCAGAGCAGCTGGAGACACCCCCAGCCCCTCGCTCTGGCCCATGGGAGCAGCACAGACACTGCCAGAGCTGTTCCCACCACATCCCTTCCTTTGCCATGCACGAGTCCCCTCCAGGCAGGAGGAAGCAGCTGGGAGCTCCAGGAGATGCCCATGGACACAGGAGGTTCTCCAGGCCCTGCACTGCCCCGAGGGGCCTCTCCCAGTGCCTGAGGGAGGAGCTGCCTGGAGCACACAAAGCAAAGAGGCTGCACCAGCGTGGAGTCACAGTCCTGGATCGATGGAACCCCACGAGACCAATTTACACATTAACTCTCTTTTGAGATGTAAATAAATATTTATTTTTCAACAAGCAGAGCCTGCTGCTGCTGTGTGCTGCAGGGGAGGGAAGGGGCTGCTGGGCAGAGACAGCTGAAACTCAGAATGGAATCCGGGAAAGAATCTTAAAGCCCATCCAGCGCCACCCCTGCCATGGCAGGGACACCTCCCACTGTCCCAGGCTGCTCCCAGCCCTGCCCAGCCTGGCCTTGGGCACTGCCAGGGATGCAGGGGCAGCCACAGCTGCTCTGGGCACCCTGTGCCAGGGCCTGCCCACCCTCACAGGGAACAATTCCTCATTCCCAATATCCCATCCAGCCCTGCCCTCTGGCAGTGGGAGCCATTCCCTGTGTCCTGTCCCTCCATCCCTTGTCCCCAGTCCCTCTGCAGCTCTCCTGGAGCCCCTTCAGGCCCTGGCAGGGGCTCTGAGGTGTCCCTGGAGCTTCTCCTCTCCAGGTGAGCAGAGGGGGCAGCTCTGAGCCCAGCTCCAGGCCCTGGCTTGGAGTATCTCAGTGGCTTCTCTGGACACCCTCCAGCAGCTCCCACCGGATTCCCCCATGCCCCAGGCAGGCAGTGCTGGGCTCTCGGGGCTCAGGCAGTCCCAGTCCCCTGAGCTGCAGCCTCCTGGCAGAGATGGCTGCAAACCCTGTGTGCATTCCTGATTGCCCTGCACTGACAAATCAGGCTTCCCCAGCTCCCTCCAGAGATATCCACACACAGGCTTCTCAGCTTTTATTCGTTTATCCAAATCAGCAAATGCTGTTTTTCCATGGACAGCTCACCTTAGGGTAGCACCAGACTGCTGCTGCCTGCACAGCCACCCAAGCTGCAAGGAATGCTGCTTGACATCCTGCAGTTAAGGAATTGCCTCCTCAGGGATGCTCTGCTCTCAAAGATCCCCTCCCTGCTGGGCCCTGGGTGCTCTCACAGCCCTTGCTGAAGCCTTTACACCTACAGCACCTGTTTGGGGCCTTTTCCTTCACACACACACTGCCACATCTCCCACCTTTTCCCATGCATTCTGAGCTCTTGGATAAATCCTGTTAATCCCCCAAACCTCGATTCCAGCCTCAGACTTAGCAAAGCAAGCCTCAAATCCCTGTAGTCACCTTCCAGCCACTGTTCTGCACAGTCCTCCATTCTGAGAGCACTGCTGAGCCAGGGCTTTTCCCTCAGGAGTATTTTGGGGGTTTGCCTTGAATTCAAGTGAAACAGCACTAACACCCCCCTATTACTGCAGCCAAAGGCAGCACCAAGGCTAGGGAGAGACCTTGGAACTCCCCAGTGACAGGGAATGAGGGACAAACCCTGAACACTGCTCCCAGCACAGCCTCAGCCCTCTGGGGAGTTTCCAGGGGTCCCTTCCCCTCATCCCAACTCCTCAGGGTGAAGCTCCTGCAGCCTCACCCTGCAGCTGGCACTGGGTGCCCGTGTGCTCCATGGTGTTTGCTCAAGATGCTGAGGGTGGGAGGTCAGCACGGGCAGGAAGCAGCACCCAGGGGGGGGGACACTGCCACTGTGACACACGGGGGCACAGCTGAGAGGGCCAGGAAGCACAGGCACTGCAGGCAGGCCCGTTGTCACCCCTGCCTGAAGGGACTCAGGCAGCTCATCAGAAGATGGAGTTGGATGGGTTTTTATATGGGGATCCATGTCCAAATAGCAGAAGGAGCACACAGCTCCATCCTCTTCCCAAAGGGACTTATCATGATTCACCAAGGTCATCACTCATAGACTTCAGCTTTTGATTGTTGTGTTTTTCCCCCTCAGAGGATTCAGGAATAAATGGGAACACAGAGTCATTGGAAACCACTCTACACCAAGGTCCCTGGCACCCTCACCCACTCCCAGGGACAGGCCTGTCCTTGGCAATGCCAACCCACAAATGCCCTGGCAGAACTCTTTCCCAGCACTAAAGCCTGCACATCAAAGGCAGGCAGTGCTGAGGAGCAAAGCCTGGCAGCACAGCTCTGTCTGGGCTGTGGTTCCTTTGCCCATTCCCATGGGGCACAGGCTATCCCTGTTCCTGCTCTGCTTGCCAGAGGCAGGGGAAGCTCAGCAGTCCCAGCTCTCCCTTCTCTCTCTCCTGCCTTTCCAGGGGATCCCTGCCTTGCTGGCATCTTGGCACAGCAGGCCAATGACCTCTGCCACAGAGCACTTGGGGATGGAGTAACAGTGATGTCCTGCAGGACCAGGACCTCTCCTGTACACCTTTGTTATTACTGTTACTGTTCCTTATCTCACTGCTGTTTCCAGTAAAATGCTTTTATTTCTACCAGTGATCTTCACCTTTTGTGCCTCCAAGTCTCCTCTCCATCCCACCCCAGGGGAGAGGAGGGGGAGTGGGTGAGTTGGGAGTGTTTCAGTGAATGCCATTCCTAAACCACCAACGTGATCACACCCAGCCCCGAGGAGAGCAAGAACCCAAAGTGAACCAGAGTGGGCTGGTTGGAGGAACAGGCTTTGAAGCCCAGATCTGAGGTGGCAGCAGAGCAGACATTCCAACTAGGAACAGGGCTGCAGTTTGAGCTCCACTGCAGCTCAAAGAGCCAAACATCACAAACTCCACTCCCTTCACCCCTCCACAACAAACTGCCTTTTTTATGGCCTCAGATCCATTCTCTGGGCCAATCCCCATGGCACAGGAGGAGCCAGGGACACATTTCAGAGGCCCTGGGGAGCTTGGGATACAGAAAAGGAAAATAAATTGATTGCTGTGTGCAACTGTCACCTTTCTACCACCACCCAGACCTGAACAACAAGGGCTGCAGGAAGCTTAAGGCAGACAAAACTTCTAGGCTTGGAGCTTCTCCTCCAAACCTAAACCTTTCAAACAAAGATCCTGGGAGCCTCGAGTCAGGCCCCAAGAGCAGCTGGCTGTTGTCCTCTGCTGTCCCTCGTCCTCCCAGCTGTGTTCTCAGGTGCCACGGCCTCCTGGGTGCCCTGCAGGCCGCGGTGGCCCCGGCAGAGCCGCAGTGCTGCCGGCACGGCCCCTGCTCCCTGTCCCAGGCACACTCAGCTTCCGGGTGGAACGGTCACCCGACGTCAGAATCCCTGCAGCCACCAGAGAAAGGGACAGTCACCCTCTGCTGGGCACAGGGACAAGGGGGGTACAGATTTTCTAAAGGGAGATCCTACCAGAGGGCTCACAAGGATGAGAGCTCAGCCCTGGTGTGTGGGCTCCGAGCAAGCTCTGGGTGTGTGGAAATGAGGGATGGTGTCCCCTCAGTGCCATGGCCTGGGACTGGCAGGGAGGGACAGTGTCCCCACAGCCTGTGAGGGATGGTGTCCCCTCAGTGCCACAGCCTGGGACTGGCTGTGAGGGACGGTGTCTGCTCAGCACCACAGCCTGGGACTGGCTGGGAGGGATGGATGGATGATGTCCCCTCGGTGCCATGGCCTGGGACTGGCAGGGAGGGACGGTGTCCCCTCAGTGCCATGGCCTGGGACTGGCAGGGCAGCTGTTCCCACTCACCCTCCTGGCTCAGTTATGCCTTTGGCCAGCTCTGCCCGCTCTGCCCCAGGGCTTGGAGCCTTTGGAGGTTTTGAGTCACAGTCTGCAGAGCTTTTCCTGAGGACAAACCAAAGGGAAAAAGCAGCATTAGGATGGGGCCAGGAAGCAGGAAAGAACAGGCTGCTCTCAGCCACTGCTGTGCTGCTCCTGCTCTGAGAACAGGGGTGTCTCTACTGCCTGCAAGCTGCTGGGATGATTTCCTGTCACCAGGAGAACAGGTCACAGGATTAGGGAACCCCTTCCCCAGCAGCTCTCACCACTGGGCAGGAGATGCAGGGACCACCCCCCACCTCCCAGCCTGACCTGCCACCAGGGGATGATGCAGAGCCCAATGTCTGCAGCAAGAACAGCACCAACTCCAGAGCCTGGAGACTTCCCTGAACGAGCAGGGATTATGGGGTCTCTCCCACCAACCATTCCAAACCACCAAACCCCACCCAACTATGCCTCCTACAGCTCAACAGCCCCTCCTCAAGCCCAGAGTCCTTCCCAGCTTACCCATCTCTCCCACACACTCCTCCAGCACAGCTGACAGCTCAGGCAAGCTCAGGGACTTCAGGGAAGGTGGCCACCCTTCCAGCACTGCAAGGACAGGGACACAGTTAATCCATCTGCAGCTCTCTGGGACAGCACACAAGGGGCTGGTGTTGCTGGGAAGCATCCCCAGCCAAAGGGATTCCAGTTAGGGCTTCTAAATCACATAGGAAGAGAGCTGGAGCTGCCTGTGCCAAACTGAGGGGTTTTCTCCAATTCTACCACCTAGGAATTTATGTTTTTAGACTGGCTGGGTTGTTTAATTAAGAGAATCTCAAAGGGATTAAGTGTAATGGACAGAAATCAATGGACAGCATCTCTGCTTGTCTCACTTCTAAGACAGGAGCAAAGAACAGGTCACTAGGAACATGTCACAGGCAGCAAGATAAGAGAGTCTCAGAATCATGGAATGATTTAGGTTGGAAGGGACCTTAAAGCCCATCCCATTCCACTCCCTGCCATGGATAGGGACATCTTTCATTAGACCAGGTTGCTCCAAGTTCCTTTCAACCTGGCCTTGAGCACTTCCAGGAATCATTTACCAGCTCCTAGGGACAAGGAGCCACAGAGATTGTCCCATGGATCCAACAGCAAAATCCCCAAACCGGGTTAGGGAACCAACCACCCATTCTGGTTCAGACCCTGCTCCAGTGCACAGGGTGGTAACAAACTCAAGGTGCAGCCACAGGTCCCTGAAGCAGGGCTGTCACTGGAGTCTGTGCTACAGCTCTGCACTTTTAGCCACAAACGCCTGCTGGACCCTAAAACTTGTTGAGAAACTCTGCAAGTTCCATTCCAAATACCCTGAGAGCAAGAACTCAACTCACTCTAAGAGCCTGGCTGCTCATCCACTCCCACATTTCAGCAAGGCAAGGCAGGCAGGGCTTTGCCCTGGGCTCACCTGGGCGCTCCCCGGGCCGCTCGCTCTCGCCGGTGCCGCGCTGCTCCCGCTGCCGCTCCCGCGTGTCCGGTGCTGCCTCGCCCGCCCGCTCCGGGGCCAGCCGGGCTGACAGCTCTGCCTGGCAGCTCCTGCAAAGCACAGCCAGGCCATCAGCGGGACAGGGACAGGCTGGCAGCGCCACTGCACTTCCTACAGCCTGCAGTACCTGCGTGGGGTGCCCGGGCAGCGCCTCTAAGGCTGCTCCTTGCTGCTTGCCGGGAGGAGGAAGTGGTGCCCAGCCCGAGCCTGGGGTGCTGGCACTGCTCAGCTCCCAGCCACTGCTCCCCATCTGCAGCCACAGCCAGCTCTGCACAGAGGAGCTGTGGGGGGACAAGACAAGGAGGGGCTGGGGTGAGCAGCAGGAAGCCCAAGCCAGGGGCTGTGTTGGTCTGTGGGAGAATGAGGCCCAATTCAAGGTTTCTAATGGGCAAAGGAAACGACATCAGGAGAGGCATGAGAGGCTCTCAGGCTGTCATCACCATCCCACCAATTCAAGCAGTTTATGTTTAGAGCATGGCAGGGCCCTTCTACAGAAGCCTCAGATCCTCAGTCAGGGGGACAAGCCAGGCTCTGCCTCTTGAGGTGGGAATATTGCTCTGCTGAGCTTCTGGATCCAACTCCAGCTCACCCTGGCTTGGCAGCCAGCAGACCCCACTCCCTTGGGCTAGGATCCATAAGCAGCAGGATTTGTGCCACTTTCAGGGATATCCCTATTGCATCACTGGACAGAACAAGGCCCATGAGAGGAGTCCAACTAGACACAAAGAAAAGCACTACAAAGGCAGTAAAAGGAGTGTCAGAAGGTTATTTAGATTATTCTGCCAGCTGTCACAGAGCTGCAAGAAAAATATTCTTCACTTGCAAGTTACTGCACATCCTTTTGCAGGTTATGGGTTAAAAACTCATTTTTGTATTCAAAAAGGTCCTGATCACCAAGTCTTACCCTGGGGAGGCACAGCCTCAGCCTTTTGGTTGCTTGTAGTTGAAACAGGAGCACTCAGCAGCTCCAAAAAGGCCACTTCCAGCTCAAGCATCTGAATAAAGTTTCACATGTGCTAAATAACCTTCTGACACTCCTTTTACTGCCTTTGTAGTGCTTTTCTTTGTGTCCAGTTGGACTCCTCTCATGGGCCTTGTTCTGTCCAGTGATGCAATAGGGATATCCCTGAAAGTGGCACAAATGGCTGTGGCTTTTCACTGGGGAAAGTCAGGCAGGATCCAAATGTGTTCAGGTGCCAGGTGAGCTCTCCTGCCTTACCCTGAGCATCACCTGTAAGGCTGCCTATATGACCCCAAACTCCATTTCTCAGCAGTCTCAGTGTCACTTCCTGAGAATGACTTACTTGATCTGATCCAGCAGGACTCCAGCATCCGTGGTGATGGCCTGAGCCTCTCTGAGCTGGCACTGGATGGCATTCCAGGTCTCATCCCGCTCCATCAAACAGCTCTCAGCCACTGCCCGCAGCTTCTGCTCCTGGCACACCTGGCCCTTCATCACCTGCACCTCTTCACACCTCTGCAGCAGAGCACACTGGGGATCAGGCTGGGAGCACTGAACATCTCTCAAGTCCCTGCTATGTTAATGCCTCAGGCAGCCAGAATGTTCCTTTCCAGTGGGAAAGGAAGCTGGATGAAGCTTGTAAGTGAGTATAGGTTTTCTCCACACTAAGCCCAACCCCACAGTTACAATTTCCCCTTCCTCTCTGTTTACAAAGTTACTTATGAGTTCAAATTTCCCAAAACAACACAAGTCTGTTCGCCGATGACTCCACCATAAAAATGACACTGCTGGGAAACAGTAGGAATTTGATTCCTGCCCTGGCTCCTATAGTTCTCAGCTGGATGGGAAACAGACACAAAGGAGCACCAAGGATGAGGAATGGGTAAGTTCTACTTGTGCTGTTTGTACACCAAGCGTGTCCACTCTAAGCCATGGCTTGAGGTGAAGGAAAAACCACCAGAAGCACAACAAAACCACAGCACTGATGGCTTCCTGCAGGGTGTAGGCCCCGAGGAGCTGGCAGCAGCCTCACCTTGTGCAGCTGGATGGCCAATTCCTGCATCTCCGCCTCCAGCCGGTCGGCATAGGCCAACTCCAGCGCGTCGCTGGGCGGGCGGGCGCTGCTGTGCCAGCGCGCGATGGCCGACGTCATCTTCCTCTTGGGGCCAAACAGCCTGGGGACGGAACCAACACGGGTCAGGCCCTGCACCACCTGTCCCTGGGCACAACAGGACACCATGAGCACCTCTGCAGTGCCCTGGTCTCTCCAAGGTACCTCCAGGAGCACCAGTGTGTTACAGCCGAGGACACGGGGATGTCAAATTGTGTGGGAGGCAGCCAGAAGGGAGCAGCACTCCTCAGCTAAACATTCCTGACCAGGCTGGACATGGTTTGTAGGGGGAAGCTGGGACAGACAGGACAGGACAGACACTCACGTGATGCCAATTTCCTTCAGGTCACTCTCAGTGAGGGTCAGGAAGATCCTGAGATCCACGTCTTGCTCCTCAAACACCTGCAGGTATTTCAGGCACCCAATCTCCTCAAGGAATGTTGCCAGGTCCTGCAGCCCAGACAAAAGAAACTTAGTTATATTCTCTCAATAAAAGCATCACCATTCCTCCTAATCATAAATATTTGTTCATGCTGTTGTAACACCTTTCTGGGTACCAGCAGCAACCTCAACTTCCTGTGGTTCCCTGCCCTTCTCCACAGTCACACACCAGGACTGGTCTCCGCTGCAGCCACACCTCTTCTAACAAGTGCAGAGCAGAATGACACAGAATCATCTACCCCAGCCCACCCCACTGCCAGGTTTGACAGCCCACCCACAGGCCTGAAGATCTAGGAAACCCCTCCCAGCAACATCTCAGCAAACAGCACCTCAACAAGAGGAGGCTGTTTACAAGTGTTTAAGTTTGGAATATCAGGTGTTTTGGTAACCTTGGAAAAGCCTCCCACACCTGGCACAGTGACAGAGCCTGCAGGACAGCTCTGTGCTTACCTGGGGCCCTGTGTAGGCTGGGGGCTCAGGAAGGACCAGGTGCTGGCAGCAGCCCCCAGCCTTCCCCAGGCAGGGGCTCCCCTGGCTGTCGCTGTTGCCGTACCGGGCCTTGCCCTTAAAGCTCTTGGCTTGTTTCCGACTCGGGGGGCTGTTGGTGTGGTCAGAGTCCTGGAAAACACAAAACCACCCACAGGATGGAAAGGATGATTGTGCAGAGATGGCAGGATCAGGGGGGATCACAAGCGCAGGTTCCTCCAAGACCTAAAGGCCCTTTTGTACTGCAGCCTTGACCCATGTGAGCTGTGAGTGACCTCCAACCTCTTCCCCTTCCTTGGTTTTCCTGTCCCTGGAAGAGCCTTTTCTCACCCAGCCTGGTCCTACAGGCTCCCATGGCAGTAGAGTCTCCCAAGGGTGAAAGCATTGCCCAAACTGAAGGCAAAGAAAAGAAAATCCACCTCATTGCTTTCCAAGGAGCCTTCACTGCTGACTCCTGGGATTCTGATTAAGCATTCACTGCTGCTGCTGCTGCTGCTCCTGACGGTTCCCAAGCTGTTGCTGGACAAAGCACTATCCTCTGGAAAGGGACAGGAAAAAAATAGTGAAGTACAACTTTGTTACATTCTGGTTTTGTTACACAATTACCAGCAAAACATCCCAGAGGTGTAAAGGAAGGTGAGATACAGAGCTAGGCTTCATGTGCAGCACTCAGGACACAAGATGACCCTGAGGCAGAGATTTCACATTTGATCCCCAGCACTCTTCTTTCCCCAAGCCTGTTTGCCACCAGAGACACTTCTGGAAACAGCCAGAAATGTCTTCTCCTCACCCTCCTTCAGACTATTTGTACAAACTGATGAAATTACCACACTGAGCTTTATCTTCTGTAGCTAAACCATCCCAGCTTTCCCTCAGGAGAGGCATTCCAATCTCAGCACCTCAGTGGGACAAGAGGCCAAGGCCTGGACTCTCAGCCAGGTGTGCACTGCATGTCTGAGACAGTGACTTACCCCTGCTGCTGCTGCTGTCCACGTCCAGCTCGTTGATCGGGGAGGTGACGTCCCTGTGCCGGATGACACCTGGCACACAGCTGCCATCGTTGCTGAAGGTGACATAGCCCTGAGGGGGCACCTGCTCTGTGTGCAACAGGAGGGGAGAACAGAGGTTAGGATGCAAGTTAGTCAGCGAGGCTCCTGCAGAAAATGTAACCACTTCTGGATCTGAAAATAACCAAAATGAGAGACTGTGCTCGCAACTAACAAGTTTCATTCTAAAGAGCACAGAGAGCACCTGAGAAATGCAGGTTCCTGCAGTTCCCTCACATGACCCCACAGCACAGGAACTTACATTGAAAGAAAGTCAGAGAAAGCACCTTATAGCAGAGATGTACCTTAAGCAGCAGCTTCCAGCACTCCCTCACCTTGTTATATTCAAATTACAAACAGGGAGAAAGAGCTGCTTAGGAGAGCAGCCCTGCACACTCTGCAGAACCAACCCCCTTCAGCTCTGCTAAAACATCAGGAGAATCCCCCTGGCATTTAAGCTGACAGAATCATTCAATACAGCCTGGGGGATAACACAGACTTGTGTTTAAGAGAATGAACTGAGGTTTGAACATGCTTCCAAGTTCATGATCTTGGTTAGTCCAGGCAACCAGTCTGAGAAATACCTATGACAGACAGCAAAACAAACCTCCTAGCACTGAATCCAGGATGTCTAACTGGGATCATCTTTCTCTTGGACTATTGCAAAGGTTCTGCAATTTCATTTTTAGAAGCATTTCAAGCATCAGGGAAGGCAAAACTCAGACATTCACTCTTATGATCAGTAATTTCTCAACCACTGTGAGCACCTCCCTGTCATCAGCTTCAGAAGGGGTCTCAGACTTTTGAGCCTGCCTAAAAAGGGAAACTGAACTGTTCTCAAGAGTCAGGGGAAGAGTAGCTGAAGTGAGAGCAGAAAAGTATCCCACTCATCAATATCTAGCCTTGACAACAGAGTTCAGGGGGTTTTCTTTCTAACCCAGACACTGGACAGTGAATACCTTCATACAAGGCTATCTTTGTCCTGTATGAACCCCACATGAATCCCAACAAATCAAAAACAGACAGCAGGAACAGCTGCAGTGCACTTGAGGGCTCAGGGGACTGTCCTCAGGCTCCCAACTCTCCTCACCATAGCAAGACTGCTTCCTTCCCCCAAGGCCAATTGCTGTGATCTTGGCCAAGGCCTGGGGCCCTTCATGGATGCTGGGACCCTTGGTCCTACGAGCAGGTCTCTGTCTCTGGGGAGCAGAACATGACTCATCTGAAGAACTCAGCTCCTCATAGTTGCCTGTAGTTCAAACACAGGTTGTTAGCAGCACAGGAAGTCATTTGCCTGTTTTACTTGCTACTGGTCCTATAAGTGCAGTGGAAAGCAAAAGAGAAATGTTAAAGATGGAGGGTGGAACAGCTAACCTAGGTCAGAAAGGGGGCAGCAGACAAGAGTTGTTGGATTCATGCCTCTTTCATCCTCAGAAATGCTGGAATTTCCAGATAGACCAGGTAGCCCCACCCCATTTACACAGTATAACATACTTTCAACGTAACTTCAGGTTCATCTTAAAATGAACAGGGTCAAATGTCTGTTACCTGGACCTCTGCAGAAGACCTTGGGCACTGGGGCTGCGTGCAGATCTATCAGCCCCACAATCTTGGTGTGGCCATACTTCATGGCCAGGGTCCGTGCTGTGGCTCCAGTGTTATCTCTGACATCTGCCTTCACTCCCTGCAGAAAAAGCACCTGGTTAAGTGCACATGGCAGAGGGCAGTGTAAAAAATATATATGCATTTCAAAAAAGCCACCAAAATTGTCTTAACTCCTCCACCAGCAATACAGGCTCACCTTTGACAGACAGTTCAAGTTGCACTAATACCCTGAATGCCTTTCTAGTTATCTCCAATTCCTGAATGCCAAATAGCCCAGGGCTCCTGTGCATTGCCACTGGGAACAGGTTTGTTTGATCTGAAGTGTTTTGCACTGCTGCCTCCTTCTGGCAGTAAGCTGGACCAGTCAGAAGGGATTTAAACCAAACTGTGTAAGAGCCCTGCATGCTAATGAGCTTTTGGATGCAGATGTCCAGTAGCCTGAGCATGCAAGCCTGTAAACACAATAGAAAAATTACAGCTTCAGTTGTTTTCTAATTCAGTCATTATTCAGTTATATCTGGACAGTCAGATCTCACTCCTATTCCTGCAAGGCCAGTGTAAAATCATGGTGCCAGCCTGCAGAAAGCAGATATTGTGAAAACAGTCCTGAAAGTCTGGGACTTCAGAGGTGACTGTCATCAAGGAGCAAACATAACACTGCCAAAAAAAGCACGGTGTCAAATTTGTGGTAGTTCCTCTGAGGGCTGGAACCAGACCTTCAGCTACCCAGAGAACTGCCAGGACACTCACATGATTGAGAAGGTACTGAACAATGATCTCATGGCCAGAAGCAGCTGCTTCCATCAGAGGTGTGTACCCATACACTGGCTCCCTGGGGAGAGAACACACATGGACAGGTATAACCACAGCTGATGTTTTGCCATTCCCTAACAGAGCATTTCCACCCCTCAACCTTTGCTGATCACAGGCTCTATGATGTACTGGCTGTCCTGTTGTAGAATTGATTCCCTGTAGAGATTCAGTGTTCCTAAACTGGCTGCACAGCAACAGATTACTCTTCCAGCTGCAGATCTGCCTTGAAGAGCCCAAATCACTTTTACAGGAGCTAATAAAGTAAGAACCTCTTGTTGCCCTCAGGCAATTCCATGTGCATAAATGTGTGCTGGTCCCCAAGGCATGGGAATGCAGGGCACACTTCAAAAACCAACCTCAACACAGAGTATATAAAAAAATCAATAAAAAGACTTATGAAGTGCACTTGAGTTCAGAAGGGGTCAGTGTTTAGCTGACAATTAAACAAGCAATAAATCTAATCTCCCTTGATCTTACTTTAATAAACAGTGACAGCATGGGCAGACTTCAATTCAGTTTGCAGGTCACCTGGTCCTTGTATTAGCTGTGCCACATCCTGAGGTACAGGGAGAAGACAAAAGCAGGAGTGCGCTCATCTGCCACCTGTTGCCTTCATACTGAATGATAAATGACAATGAAATTATTGCCAACCAGGGCTCTATGTACGTGGAACTCTAATCATAGTCCTGTTATTTCTGAGGCCTGCCTTTTGCAGCTTTCCCAAAACCCTCTGATTTGAAGAATTCCTACATGAAATGACAGATTCCTCCTTACTTGCAGTTGGCATTTGCTCCATTCTCCAGTAAGAACTTGACCATCTGCTGGTGCCCAGCACTGGTGCAGTGGAACAAGGCAGTCCAGCCATGGATGTCCTTCATCTCCAGCTCTGCTCCTTGCTGCAAGAGAACAGACAATATTCCTTACTGCATCTGCTCTGCTCAGACTTTCAGCACTGCCCTTTTATGTTGGGACACCAGGAGTTTAAATTAAATCTCACCACAAAGCAGACCTCACACCAGAACACAAAGTGGCAGCTTGTGGATAATCCCACCCTGAGCACTTACACCACGTGCTGTGGCTTCACCCATGTTTTACGGGATACACACCTGGAGGAGGAAGCAAGCCACACTCTCATTGCCACAGCTGGAGGCCAGCATGAGGGGAGTCTGCCCTTCTGGGGTGGGGATGTTCACGTTCACTCCCGCTTCCAGCAGCAGGTGCACGATGTTGTCGTGGCCGATGTAGGACGCGTACATGAGTGGGGTCCAGCCCCCACAGTTCCTCTGGTTCAAATCCAGGTCTCCACTAAGGAACAGAGGAAAGAAGTCACATCAACTATTGTGCTGGAGCTGTGGAGCACAGCTGGCTTCTGCAGACTCTTGTTATCATCTAGCACTGAAGCCTGCATGGGAATTTCCACCAGGTCCAGCACAACCTCCCCCAGATCGCAGAATTACAGAATGCTTTGGGGTAGAATGGACCTCAAAGACCACCTCATTCCACCCCCTACTAAAACACCAAGGAGGTCAATTTTATCAGCAGATTGGCCCCTGGAAACTTTGTGCCAAGAACCCTTTGGGAGTCCCAGTGAGGTGTCCCTGTTGCCCCAACCAGTGAGGGACTGGTGACAAGCACACCTGCAGCAGGTGGCGCCAGCCGTGGCACTGGTGACAAGCACATCTGCAGTAGGAGGCACCACTGACAAGCACACCTGCAGCAGGTGGCACCAGCCGTGCCATTGGTGACAAGCCCACCTGCAGCAGGTGGCACCAGTGACAAGCACGCCTGCAGCAGGTGGCACCAGCCGTGCCATTGGTGACAAGCACACCTGCAGCAGGTGGCACCAGCTGTGGCACTGGTGACAAGCGTACCTGCAGCAGGTGGCGCCACTGACAAGCACACCTGCAGCATGTGGCACCAGTGACAAGCACACCGGTAGCAGGTGGCACCAGCCGTGGCACCAGTGACAAACCCACCTGCAGCAGGTGGCACCGGCCCTGCCCAGCCCCTCTCACCGCTGGATGCACTCCTGCACCACGTGGTACTGGCCGACAGACGAGGCCGTGTGCAGGTCCAGGGGCACGTCGAGCTCCTCGCGGCACAGCGCGGGCCCCAGCCCGTGCCACATGGACAGGCTGCGGCTCAGCAGCTCCGACTCGCTGGCCTCGTCGCTCAGCTCCGACATCCTGCCCTGAGGAGCCAAAGCACAGCACAGCACTCAGCTGCTGACCCCTGTTTGCCATGCAGTTACAGCTCCACGCTGCCACAGGCTTGGAAGGTGAGGTGCGGGGCTTCAAATTCTTACCTCAACTCTGATTGACTCCTCAACCCAAAACAGTAACTGCGGCTGAGAAGATTTTGCTGGAAGTTTTCTCTTGCTGTAGAAAACTCTGGGATTCCAATACACTGGAAAAATAAAAGGCAATAATGCTAAAGCCCACATTTTTCAAATCTCATTTTAAGATTGCAGAGCAGTGGCTTTATTTCCTGCCTGCCTAATCCAAACATGCCTGAGGCAGCTTTGAATAACCTCAGCAAGAGAAGACTAAACATCTATTTAAGACCTGAAGGTAGGCTCAGTGTTTTACAAAAGGATGTAATTCTTGCTCTGCATGTTTTATAATGCAGGGAGAGAATTAAGAATTCAAGTCTCAGACATTCCTGGTCTTGTCCATCTGTCTTGCATTACTGGATGGTCCTGGTTAAATTAAGACACAGTCATTAATAAGGACAACTGCCCACTGCTCCCAAAACCACTCTGTCACCTGAAGAGGGTGCACCCTCCACTGTCACCAGGTTGTAAGCAGATTGTTTCTACCATTTATTGTTTCAGCCCTTCAGAGGCAGCCCAGCCCCATCTCAGTGAATCCTGGAAATGCTGAAACACTGGGAGCAGCAGCACACCCACCCATTCATTATCCAAGCACACCCCCCTTCCTGCAGACACAATTTAATTACAGCTCCTCCAGCTCCAGGACTGCCTGAAAGGTTTATCCCAGGCCCAGCCTTAGGGAGCAAGTGCAGACAAATCATTTGAACCTCTCACAGGAGAGAGTTCTTGTCTGGCACTCCAGGAAGAGCTGCTCAGCACAGCTGCATCCAGCAGCTGCTTCAGGGCTTCAGCTGCAGCTCCAGGACACAGAATCCCAGAGTGGTTCTGGCTGCAAGGGAGCACTGGGTGTCATCCCACCCCACCTCCCTGCTCAAGCAGGGTCCACTGAGCACATTACACAGGGCTGTGTCCAGGTGGGCTCTCAATATCTCCAGGGAAGGAGATCCACAGCCTCTCTGGGCAGCTTGTTCCAGACAATCCCATGGGAATTTTCCCTCCCTGCCCACCATACAGCACTCCTGGGGTTTGCCTGGTCCCTTATATAAGCTAAGCCAACATAAAGTCCTTCTTCCTGGTAAATCCTCACCAATTTAACTCCTTGGATTCCTTCTGGGGTCAGGCAAATGCCAAATGAGGAATAAAAGAGCAGGAACAGGTTTTTCAGCAGTAGCTGCTCCTCAGATTCCCTCAGCTGCAACATTTCAAGACCATACTCCCGTTTTCTGAGCAACTGGGAGTCTTTGCCTTGCAAGCACCAGCCCCTTTTCCTACAAGAAAACTCCTTTCATTCCTACCTGTTCACTCCCCACCTGGATCCTCTCTCTCCCACCCTCCTTTATTCTCAGCTTGTTAAGACTACAAAAGCACCATCTATTCTATTCCATCAGCTGGGAAGAAATTATTTCCCTTTAAAAATATCTGCAAAAGGACCTACTGTGCCTGACAGCAGCAATTTGTAGTGCACTGGGCAGCCCAGAGGCCTCAGACAGGAATAAGAGAAGGGCCTGGACACCTCACAATCAAACCACAAGGAGAACAAAGTGGATTGAAGTGGATCACAAGGGGCAAAGTAGGAGTTTCTCACTAAAACGGGTTAAAGCTGCCCCAGGGAGGCCAAAAGGCAGTGAAAGGAGGTAGAATTCAGGGCAATGTGTGGAAGCACATTTAGGTACAAGTGAAGCTCATTGTTCTCCACCCTCCTTGTTAATCTGGTACATTAATTATCAACCACTCAGGTGTTTGGTCTTTGTCAGAATCAGCCACTCTCAGGTCCAAGTCACCAATGCAGCCTTGGTGAGGTGATCCACAGTCACAGGACAGAACATCCAGCACCTTCAGCCTCCTCCACCTCCCCTGTGCTCTGCCTACACATTTGCTTTTTATTGTTTAAAGCTCTGAGGTTTCCCCTCACACTGAACTTCAGCAGCTGTCAGCTCTGTGAGCACCTGAGGACAGCTGCTCACAATCTCCAGGACAGCCAGAGTGATCAGAACCCTCAGGACTGAACTGAAAAGATGGGAATGAAACAAAAGTGGGGTTGTCTGGTGCAAGGAGGAGCCTGGAGGGGACATGTGACACGAGCATCCAATACACAATAATCCATCATATCATGGAATACCAGGATGGTTTGGGTTGAAGGGACCTCAAAGCCCATCCTGTCCCATCCCTGCCATGGCAGGGACACTTTCCTCTATCCCAGGTTGCTCCAAGTCCTGTCCAACCCGGCCTTGGGCACTTCCAGGGATCCAGGGGCAGCCACAGCAGAACCTCAGAAGCTCAAGTCATTGCACAGAACATTTTAGATAAAGGCCACAAAAATCCCTGCAAAAGTAAACATGAGAGTACTGAGGGACACTGGGTTACCAAGAATAAGTTTCACAAAGACCTCCTGAACATTGACAGTCTGTTCCCCTGCTTTGGGACAGAGTGACAAGTTCACATTTGTCAGAGGCCTCCCTCAGCTCTCTGTCCTGCTTTCAGCTGGGATTGAGTTCATTCTCTTGCCAGCAGCTGGCACAGGCAGCTTTTGGGTTCAGGCTGAGAAGAATGCTGATAACACACTGATGCGTTGGCTGCTGCTATCCATGCTTACCCTAAACCAAGGACTTTGAGCTCCCCATGCTCTGCTAGCAAGGAGGTGCCCAAGAAGCTGGGGGGGATCTGACCCAAACTGGGCACAGGGATATTCCATTCCACAGGGCATGGAATTCATGTACTACAGTATGAGAACTGGGGAGCCTGGCTGGGAGGGGACAATAAGAGCAGCTTGGCCATGGGATGGGAATCAGCAGGTACCGAGTTCCTTTTGAGTTTCTTTTGGCTTTATTTTCTCATTGTAATTATTATTATATTTTACTTTGCTTCAGTAATTAAATTGTTCTTACCTCAAGCCATGAGGTTTTTTACTTTCTTTTCTGATTCTCCTCCCCATCCCACTGGGATGGAGCAGGGAAAAGCAGCAGCCTGGTCCCTGGTAACCAGCTGGGCTCAAGCCATGGCACCTGTGAAGCTGCTGTTGTTATTATTATTAAATTGAATCCATCAGCACTCAGCTATTCATCAGGGTCACAGCTCTACAGTGCTGGGGCAGCAAACCCCACACTGCCCTGGATTTGGAGTTTGCTGTTTGAGCAAATCAGAGAGCAGAGAAAAAATAAACTTAGTATGAAAACAGACACAAAAAGCACCTTAGAGCCACACTAAATGGGAGGTGATTTGGGAAGCAACCAGCCCCCACCACAGACAAATGCAGCACTGCCTGTTAATCACCCTCAGCAGGCACTGTTCAATTCACTCTCACACATCCTCTCCCACAAGCACAGGCGACATCCACACGTGTCCTTCTGTCCCAAAGTAGGGACACTCAAGGCACCAGAAGTGTGGAGGCTGCTGGAAAACAAGAGAGAGTCATAGAATATTCTGAGTGGGAAGAGACCCCCAGGGATCATCCAGTCCAAACCCTGGCACAGACGCCCCAGCACTCCCACCCTGTGCCTGAGCACTGTCCAAGCTCTCCTGGAGCTCTGGCAGCCTCGGGGCTGTGCCCATTCCCTGGGGAGCCTGGGCAGTGCCAGCACCTCTGGGGGAAGAACCAAAATCCAGCCTGGCCCTGCCCTGCCCAGCTCCAGCCATTCCCTGTCCCAGGGATCAGAGCTGCCCCTGGGGAGGAGCTGCAGCCCCCCCTGAGCTCTGCCCTCAGTCTCCTCCTCCAGCTGAACAATCCAAGTGCCCTCAGCTGCTCCTCAGACCTTCCCCTGGACACTTTCCAACAGCTTTAGATCCTTCTGATATTGTGGCTGCCCCCAGGACTCGAGGCGAGGCCCCACCAGAGCAGGAACACACTCCCCTTCTGCTCCTGACTTTGCTCTATTTCCACTAAACCAGCAACAACTTATCAGAGGGAGAACAAAAAGCCTCCTTACATCCCTTTTTAGTTGCAATTGTTACCAGCTCAGGCACAACAGGAACCACAACATCTCATTTTTGCAGTGTATTATCCACTGACTCACTGGGTTAGCACAAATCACAGCTGCAGGAACCACACCAGGTTCCTGAGGTGCGTGAGAGAAATCATTCCTGCATCCACAACACTCGAGCTGAATCCTACCCACATCTGTTGAAAATACACAAAATACACCAAGCTCTTCATCTTTTAATGCTTGGACTCAATCACTTAAAGGTCCTTTCCAAGCTGAGTGATGTCACCCTCAGGCACATTAAAGCACATCAAACAACCTCAGAAACACGAGGTAAGAGGCACAAAAGCACTCGAGCCACGGCAGCCGGACACGGCACCCGCAGGGCTCGGCCCGGGCTCGCTCCGCTCACACACAACGCACCTGAGGCGAACGCAGCGGCCGGAACCGCCACAGCGGCCGCCCCGCGGCTGTTACCGAACATCGCCCCGCGGAACGGCTCCGGGGCCGTTACCCCGCACCTGCCTCCCGCGCGGCCCTGCTAGCAGCGCGGCCTCAGCATCGCACGCTCCAGCGAGCGCGGAGGAACCGCTGCGGCCACGGGCACACCGAGTACGGGCAGTGCCCGCGGCCGGCCCCAGAGGTGAGCACCGCCCCTGCTGCTGCTCCCGGCCGCTGTCCCGTCCCAGCCCCGCCGCTCCCTCACCTGCGCCCCGGTGAGCGCCGCCGCCGGAACTAGTCCCGCCCGCGCAAGGCATGCCGGGAGCATCCCCGCCCTCACGGGCCGCGGACTACAACACCCAAGAGCCCCCGCGGAGCCGGGCCAATGGGAGGAGCCCGTGCGAGGGGCGGGGCGAAGGGCAGCCAATGGGGTTGGGATTGGCCGCGGGAGATTGTAGCGAGCAGCCCCCGAGGACGCGGCCCCGCAGCGCTGTCCCCGGCCCTGCGCTCGTCCCGGTGCCGCCGGTTCGCTGTGCCCGCCGTCCGGCCCAGCCCGGCGCTCAGCGGGGCGGTGGGCGCCGTGAGTGAGGGCAGGGGGGCGGGGCGGGGCCGGGAGCGGCGTTGCCATGGGGACGGTGCCCGTGCGCCCGCGGCCGCCATTGCGGGGCTGTGGGCGGGGCCCCTCAGGGAGCCCCGACCCTGGCCCGGGGCTCCCACCGGGGCTGCCAAGCTCTGCCTGTCGCCATTGCGGTGTCCTCACCGCCTCTCCTTCCCAAACGCCACTTCTGGTGACAAGGAGAAGCTCAGGGTTTCAAGTCTCAGAGTCATGGAGTCGTTAAGGCTGGTAAAGACCTCCACGATCATCAAGTCCAGCCTTCGATCTCCGTGCCCAAGCTCTCCAGAAAGTGTTACTGCTAACAAGAGTTTGTTTTGGACACAGAGCACTGTTTGCTCCCACAGAGGATGCTGCATTAGCTGAGTGACAAGTCAGATCCAGTGTCCATCCATAACCTTTATTTATCTCAGATATTTATCTCGGATTTGGCACAGGGAGCCATCCTAGGCAGTTTGTTTTATCCCCATGGGGCTCCTCTGACCCTTGGCAAGCTCTGCTCAGAGTCAGAGCACAGTGCTCCAGCCATGAGGATTTCCCTCTTTCTTATCTCAGTGAAATTCAGGGTTTGTCTCACACCAACAAAACCACCATAGATGAGGTCTATAAAGTATCTACAGAGGCAATTTGCAAGTTATAAACTTCCCAGGGAGATAGCTGAGTTTAACCTCATGTTTTGAGGAGTGTTCCTGGCCAATGCAGATAACAGGATCAGCGTGATCCCTTGAACATTGATTTCAGTCCTGAACACAACTTAAAATAATAAAAATGTGATAAAATAATCACATTGTTCCTTCAGTGGTGAACATAAGTCCATGGAATCACAGAATGGTTTGGTTGGAATATTGAGCACGTGTAAGAACACACAGTCACCAACCTCCCATGGTCCTTGTGGGTCTCTTCCAGCCCTGGGTATTCTGTGAAACCTCTGAAGCAGAAATCATTTCCTCTCATGTTTGACTGCCCAGAAAAACATGTGATTGTGGCATAAAATGTGAAAGTTTTCTGTGAGGGTGAATGATCTGACCTCTTAGCTCAGCTGCAGTTCCTACTGTGCTGTCTCAACTTTGCATGGACAGCAAGGAACAGGAGGAAAGGATCCACTTTAGAAACACTTTGAGAGATCAAAATCCATGAATGTGCCCGTTCTTAATTATTTCTTAAAATAAAAATCCAGTGAAAACAAAAGTAACCATGAACCACATGGAAGGTTCTCTGCCCATGGCAGGTGGGTAGGAGAAAGTCTTTAAGCTCCATTCCAACCCAAACCATTGTGAGATTCTGTGACTTTGTGATCATTTTATCTGTCCTTTGGGTAGGGAGGAGGGGAATGTGAGGGAATTTGGGAAGAGGAGTCAATCCAGCTGAGAGCAGAGGTGCCAGCTTTGCTGCCTTTGCTCTGTTCCTGTCCCATCCCTGCAGGCAGAACATGGGAACGCACTTGGAGAGGACACAGTCACAGCACTCTGGCTAAGAATCCCAAAAAATTCTTCATAAATGAGGGGCTAAACTGCCCTGGGGTGTGTGTGGTGAGTAGGGCAGAAAGCTCTCAGCCCTTTCTGAGCTCAGGTGCAAGGGAATAGCTCCAAAAATGCAGATTTTAACATTTCCTGCTGGGAGTGCTGGGAATGCCTCTGCCCTGACCACACACAATTTGTCCTGGTTTTGGACTGATGTTATCTCATGTTTGGACAGGTGTCCTCAAGCTCATCTTTCCTTTGCTTGAAGGGAAGCTGTCCCAATGGCCTCAGAAGCACCAAGTGAGGATGCAGAATGTGCAGCTGAGCCTCCTGCAGCTCCTGTGCAGGGGAACAGGACATTCCAGTGGGGATCCATCCTTGCTGCAGTGAAGGACCAGCTCCCATCCCTGGACTCTGACTCCTCGACAGTAAGCTCTGAAATTCTGCCTTTCTTCCCTCTTAAACATGGAAAAAAGCTCTCAAAAGCAAGAGCAGTGACCTTATCAGGCATTTTGGGGTGGCTGGTGTGGTCTCCTGGGTGGGCTGCCTGCCCTGACTATAGAACACTGTGTGTTAATCCACAGCCTTCTGGATTACCCTCAATTATCAGAGTGTAATTAAAAATCAGACCACCTCTCCCTGTATTCTTTGGATTCTGCCCCACCTGCAGAGCTGCCTCTAGCTCTGGGGCCCAGCACAGACTTGGAGCTGCTGGAGCAAATCCAGAGGAGGCTCCAGGATGATCAGAGGGAAGGAGCAGCTCTGCTGGAAGCCAGGCTGAGACAACTGGGATTGTTCAGCCTGGAGAGGAGAAGCTTTGGGGTGACCTCACTGTGGCCTTGCAGGGCCTGAAGGGGCTCCAGGAGAGCTGGAGAGGGACTGGGGACAAGGGATGGAGGGACAGGACACAGGGAATGGCTCCCACTGCCAGAGGGCAGGGCTGGATGGGATATTGGGAATTGGGAATTGTTCCCTGTGAGGGTGGGCAGGCCCTGGCACAGGGTGCCCAGAGCAGCTGTGGCTGCCCCTGCATCCCTGGCAGTGCCCAAGGCCAGGCTGGGCAGGGCTGGGAGCAGCCTGGGACAGTGGGAGGTGTCCCTGCCATGGCGGGGGTGGGATGAGATGAGCTTTAAATTCCCTTCCCAACCCAAACCATCCTGATATTCCATGATATTATGAAATATTATGTACTTGAGGCTGGTTCTCCACAAGACATGTTGCTTTTTTGTGCTTTTTACCTGCCAAAGAAGCATAATTGCAGAAACCTTTTCATATGAGGTGTGAGACTGAGAGGTGTTGTGCAGTGTTCTTCACTGGTGCAGGTTTTTCCCTTGCTGGGTCTGGGCCAGGCTGTTCTTGGCTGCTGAAATCTCTGCTCACAGGACAGCATTGCTCTGGTGCTCCTCTCCAGTCCAAGATGCTCTGGCACTGACTTTTCTGAGGGGATAATGTGTCTCAAATTTATTATTAGTGGCATTTTGTCCAAATCAGAACTTTGTGTTAATTTTCAAACATGTATAAACTTGAAAAACATTTTGAACACAGAAAGGATATATTTTACCTCAACTTACTGTAGCCATTAATGGTACAGAGGGAGATTGTGAGATGTGAAAGAGCCAGAAATGCCTCCAGTGGGTATTTATTTATTTTTATTTTTACTTTTATTTTATTTTTATTTTTATTTTTATTTTAAATTTTATTTTACTTTTATTTTTATTTTATTTTTATTTTTAAATTTATTTTTATTTTTATTTTTATTTTTATTTTTTATTAATCAATTATCCAAAGCAGTGTGATCTGCTGGACAAAATGTTTATGGGGATTCCATGACTTGGATTCTGCACTTGGATCTGTCACTGTCATGCTGGACAAGCCACATTCCCTCACTGTTCTCAGTTCTCTCTACCTACACTGTTTTAATTATTTAGAACAACCCTTGCCTTGTTAACATGTGTCTCTGTAGTGCACATGAAGGCCCAACACTGAAATTATTTGTAGGTTTTCTGGTTGAGTAAATTACAACCAGGCTACGCCAGAGGAGCATCCCCAGATTTTGGTGCCAAACACCATTGAAGAACCCCAAATCATGCTGAAATTTTTTTCACTCTTTACAATCTCCAAATTCTCTGTTTCTGTCCCACATGGAGAAGATTTCCTGCAGAAAGAACTGAGGCAATCTGTCTGGCACTTCATTTGCATTCAGAAGATCTGGTTGTGTAATCCCTGTCCTGCTGAGGCTGCAGTTCCAGGGCTGCACCTTTGTCCGTGGAATTTCCACGTGGGAAAGATCCATTTGTGCATCCCAGAGCTGTCACCTGAATGTGCCCTGCTCCCACCTCCAAAAATGGCACTCACAAATGTGGTTTATGCCCTGAAGCCCTTCCATTACCCTGAAATGCAATTTACTAAGAGGAAAGATGTTCTGTGGCAGTTGGGTTCGTGTTAATGACACCAGAGAGGATTCTCTGCAGTGAGAATTCCCAAAAATGCTCACTTGCAAAACAAAGGGACAGCAGGAAAGCTGTGTCCTGACTGCTGAGGAGGTGCTTAATCTCCTTTTGGTGTCCATGCATAAGGATTCATCTCCAGTGCATATCTGATGTTTATTAAAGGGATTTTCAGAGCTATCTAAATGCTGCCTGACCAAACCCAGATGGTGTTTGCATTCTGAACAGGAATCAGGGCAATGAAAAGCCTTCATGGCCCTGCCTGGCCTCACCTGGGGCTCCAGCACCTCTTATTTATTTAAGCTGTCCTGTCTACGAGTATCATTAGTTGTTTTGTGACTAGGTTGATAAACCATAGCTGGAGGGTTGAGAGTTGGTTAGTAATTCATTGATTGTCTAGGGAGGGTAGTAGCCACCTACACTTCTTCTAATAGTTTGGAAGAAGAGATGATTTGACAAGGAACCCAAACAATGAGCCCAACAAGGAGCCAAACAAGAAGCCCAAACAATGTAATTTAGAAGACCTAACCCAAAACCAGTGAAAGGCAGGGACAAGGGGATGCTTGAGGAGCTCTCTGTGGCACTGACACAACTTCAGCTGTTCCATCAGTGTAAATCTGCAGTGATGGAGAGCAGAGCTTGGATTTTGATTCACCTTAATGTTACTAAAGAACTTGCACAAATGTAATGCCTGGTAAATGCTGCTCAGTTCTGGTTGTGTCTGCTGCTCAGTTCTGAGCTCTGGCCCCTCACTCCCTCTCTCTATGTTAGGGGAGTTTTGGTTTCTAGTTATGATCCTGCCTGAGCCAGACTTTCACCTGTGAATTGAAAGTTTTCAGTCTTGATCTCTGCCCAGCTTCATCACTCCAATATTGCCCAAGGATCTGGAGCTGTGCCTCAGCCTGGTTGCTCCCTCTGCTCTGTCCTGCTTGTCCCTCTTGGGTTCTGTGGGACTGGGCTTTGCCTGGTGAGGCCTTGCCTTTGCAGTCCCTGAGAATCCCAGAATTATTTGGGCTGGAGGGATCTTAAAACTCATTGAATTCCATCCCCTGCCATGGCAGGGACACCTCCCACTGTCCCAGGTCACTCCAAGCCCTGCCCAGCCTGGCCTTGGGCACTGCCAGGGATGCAGGGGCAGCCCCAGCTGCTCTGGGCACCCTGTGCCAGGGCCTGCCCACCCTCACAGGGAACAATTCCTCATTCCCAATATCCCATCCATCCCTGCCCTCTGGCAGTGGGAGCCATTCCCCTTGTCCTGGGCCTCCAGGCCTTGTAAATATTGAGCAGCTCTGCTCCTGCCTCTCTGATGGTGAATGAGGTACTGCAGAGAATCACTTGGGAGATAGAGAACTTCCCACACTTTCCATTGCTTTTCTCAGCAGGATGTTTGTCATCAGCCTCCATGGGAATTTGATGTTTTACATGTTTTTTACATTTGGAGCTTGCTTAGGTGTGGGGTTGGTGACTCTTGGGCTACCAGCCTGTCTAGCAAAGGTGTGACTGCAAGGAAACTTCTTGTCTCTGCACTTCAAGAGGTGCCAACATGGGAGTTGTCACTGCAAAGCAGATATTCCAATATCAGTGAGTATTACAGTCTCCTGTTGAATTTCTCTGTTTTTCTGTTTGCAGTCTGATTGTGAGAGTGATGAGGAGCTTTTCATCTTCCAGAGGGACCTGCCCAACTTAATTCCAGACCTGTCAGAGGAACTGATGATGTTTGCCCTGGAAGACTCCCAGGAGCAGGTTGGGACTGTTGTGTGTGTCCTGTCCTGTCACCCCTCTCCTCTGGCTGTCCCCAGTGTGGGCACCTGCTCATGTCTGAACTATTTTTCTGAACAGGAAAAGCTTAGTCCTCAGCATTTTCTCTCACTAGAAAATAGAACTCTTTTTTTTTGCAGTGGCCCTTTAAAGTTTTCTCTGTTCTTGAGATTTTGGACCTTTTTTGTCCCATCTCTTGGTAGTTTTTATTGTCCCTTTACTGTTTTTCTTTCCTGTGCAATCATTTTATGTGTCCAGAAAATGAACTAGGACAGTGCAAGAAAGAGGAAAAGTATGAACTTTACTCTCTGAACAGCTTTTCTGGGATAAAATAATCACATTGTTCCTTCAGTGAAGATAAATCCATGAAATCACAGTATGGTTTGGGTTGGAATAATGAACACATGTAAGAAAAAGTAATTTAAAGGATGTTTAGCAGTTCCTGAAATTAAAGTTTTTGGAAAGTAAACAGTCTCAGTGTTTTCCATGAGGGATGTGGTGTGGGTTGTTTCCATATGGTGTCTGAGTTGGAGCTGTTGCCTTCCAATCACTCTGTTTTGGTTTTTTATCCACTTCCAAAGCTCAGGGAGATTGACTTTCTCTGTGTTTGTGCTTTCTCTACCTGTAGCAAATCCAGGAGACAGAAAGACTTCCATGGGAGATCTGGAACGAAGACCTGGAAAGTTTTGACTTTCAGGAAAAAACAGATGGTGCCCAAATCATTGCAAAAGAAGATGTACAAATGATTAAAGATGAGGCTGCTGAACCTGCCAGCCAGACTGAAGAAATGCCAAACCAGAAGAGAGCTGTTCTTGAAGAGTTTCCCTCAGATTCCACAGATCACCTTGAGGAGAAAGAAATGGGCAGGACTCAGGCTAGGGAAAGAGCAAACTCCTGGCCTATCACAGCAGTGCCTGTGCAAGAGCTGTACACTAAAGAGGAGAGAAAAAAGCTGATAGAGACAAAGATACTGTCCAAGATCCTTGTGGAGCCATCCCCAAAGCAGGATGTCAAACCTCCCTCCCATGGCATCAACAACAGCCTGGGAAGATTTGCAAAGGCAGAAACCTTCTCAGATGAGCATCTTGGAGAAGTGATCCATTTGTCATTGCAGGCAAGTGGCAATAAAATCAAGCTCTGGGGGTGCTGCAGGTGGGCTGGGGCACAGTGCAGGGCCTGCATAACCCCACTGCAGGAGCAGCTGAGGTCCCAGTCTGACACTCCACAGGGCTGGGTGTTACACAGGTACCAAAACCTGTCCCAGAGCAAGTCCAAACCATGGCAAAAGCTGCTGCAGATACCCAACTGATAACCAACATATGAAAAATTACTGCGAGAAAGAAAAGGTAGAAGGAAATTAGGTTAGTAGTCAAGGCCACAACTACTCTAAAAGGACTTAACCTAAGCACAAAGCTGCTATTTTAAATTTTATTTTATTATTTAATTATTTTAATTTTTTATTTTTGTGAAATAATGCCCAAACTTATCTTGTAACATACTCCCCAAATACTCTAGAGCACTGGATTTGCCAGGGTTTCCCAATTCAAGGACTTCAGTTTAACACCATTTTTACTGGTGTCTAAAGGAGATGCACATTCAGCCTGCTAGAACTTCCATGTCCCTTCTTAATGTAATAGAGGAACACAGGAGAGACTCAGGAATGACCAAGGAGATCCAGCTGGTCATGACCCATAAGGTTGAGGTCAGAAGATAGAGATTATTTGGGCTACTTTGTTAGATTCAAGTAATTTTTCTAGACAAGAAAAAGCACAGCTAATTTAGGTGATGTTTGTCTGCTAAGCATCAGAAATTCAGGAGAGTGTAACAATACAACTTTACTACCAAAGATTCCACAAAGAAATTGCAAAATACAGCTTAGCTCTGAGTGTGCTCAGAGCACAAACAAGCCTTTCATTAGGAACTATGGAAGTGATGGTCAAATTTTGGCTATTTTCCAAAAGAGCTGACACACACACACAAACCCCCATGGAAATGGATCTGCAGCAAGGTCCATGAGCTGTTAGGGAAGCCAACCATAGCATCTGTCCCTGGGAAGGCAAGGAGTTTTTCAGGTCCCAGGCAGCATTGCATTAAACCAGGGAGCTTTCTGTCCTTCCAGTGGGGTGCTGGAGGTGAGGAGATGTTTAGGGTTGTTCCTGAAGTCCTAAATCTCACCCAGCTAAGGCAGGTGGGATGAGCAGCTCAGTGTTAGCTGGAATGTGGCTCAGAGTCAGGAGTGGTTTTCTTCAGCACTGAGTTACAGATCTGCCTGTATTGATTTTTAAGTTCATTAGAACTTAATCAGCACAGAACAGGTCCTGATCTTTCTGTTCAAAGCCTTCCACAGGTCAGAGTAGAGAGGTTTCCCTTCCCCTTTCATGTATTCACAGAAATGAACTTTTTGATGTTAGAGCTGTTCCAGTCCAGGCAAATCATGCAGCTGCTGGCCTGTGAGTTAAATTGTGCTGCATCATTGAAGGACATCTTTTCAAGTGGGTCTGGGTGTAATTCCCAGCTCACCTCATAGAATTCTGTTAATTCAGGAAGCACTTCTTGCCTTTCAGAGCCTGTTTGATGTCAGTGAGCTGAAGTCTGGTGCTTTGGGGTGAGTTCTGAGAGGCTCAGTGTGTTCTCACTTTCCTTTGGAAGGGGTTGTTACTCCCTAGCTCAGCCAGGCACCTCAGTTTGTGTCAAGTTGCTAAACCTAATATACAGTTTCTTCTTGATTCCTATCAGTTAATTAGATTTTTTTCCCCTTAAGTTCCTTTCTGTATTAGAAATGGAATTGTGCAAACCTTCACTTCCATTTCTTCTGGACCTTCTGGAACTTAAACCAGTGCTGCAGTGTTGGAATAGATCTAATCATGGTTCAGATATATGTGAAGATTTATTGCTCAGGAAGGAGGGACAACCTTCTCACCAACAAGAGGGGCAGATGCTGGAGGTTTTACAAGGTGAAATGCTGGGTTTGGAGGCTGCTTCTGCTTTTTTAAAGGCTGTGAGGGGTTGTATTAAATTCATGTTTGTGGCAGTGGTGTCATTGTCACGACTCACAGCCCCCTTCCTTTCAATAAAACTCATAAGCACTTTGAATTTCTGGTGATGATATTTCACATGGGTGTGGAATCTTTTCATTAAAACTTCAATTTATATAAATTATAAATAATACTCAGAGGGGAAAGCAATGGGTGGTTTAAATGCATGTGGACTTTGATGGCAGCCTCTTGCACCTGAGTGAGGTGAGTGTGCCCTCAGCCAGGGATTCAGAGCAAGGAAATGGAGGATCCTCTCTTCAGGGTGGGGTGAGCAGCTGTGGGATATCATCTGATAATGACTGTACCCACAGCAATGGGAATTTACCCTGCTCAGAAACTGGAGGAGGAGGAAAGGGCTGATCTCAAAGAGCTGAAGAGCCACAAGTCCTTGTCCTGTGGGTGGCAGTGAGAAGTTCTAACATTATTCAGAATCAGAATGCACATGCTTGGCCTTGTATCAGGCCACTTTTTAATCTGTTCCACTGTCTCCAGTGATCTTTTAAAATCTTATCAAAAGGGTTCATGATTCTCAGAGAAAGAGCCTCAGCAGAAGGAGCTGAAGCAGCTGGAGGGATGCAGTGTCTGAAGGGATGTAATAATGCATTTCTTTCCCTACAGCACTTCCTCTGGAATTGCTGAAAGCAAGCTGGCACTGAAATTAGGGGTGGTCTTTTGGGAGTCAACTTTTCCATCATGTTTCTCTTGTCTTCTTTCAGGCTATTGAGAAATGGAATGTAGACAAGAATCTTGAGGAGCTGGAGCAGCAGGGAGATAAAACTCGTGCACAAGTTGCTTTCTTCCCAGCAGATTATGGTAATGTCACTAGTTGAAAGTGCATAAAAATAAATAAAACTCAGGTTCCTGTATTTAAGTTATTCCCTGCAGCATAATTTTGAATGCAGAAATCACCGTGGGTTTTTTAAATGCTTCTAAAACATGTTTAATTATCTTCCCTCAAGATTTCATCTAGGTTTCTTAGCCTGAAGCCAGTGCTTCACAGCCTGCCATGGGCCAGACAAGCCATTACAATATTATCTTTATCCTCCCCCTGCTGCCAGGCTGTAGGAACAGGAACAATGTGAACATGGGGAATATGGGTGATTTCATGGCAGAAGACCACAACTGATGATTATTTTGTTGCTCTTCCACAGAGTCCTTCAGGAGGAAGTGTGAAGAGGAGCTCATGGAAAGGCTGGGAGAGCTGTGTGCCAGGCAGACCAGGGCAGTGTCCCCTGCCTGTGAGAGGCCATCAGCCAAGCTCTGCTCCTTCCAGGGACAGCAGGACAATAAGTGAGTCCTTTTTGTCACACATCCCAGCTCATCCTGGCTGCCAGAAGGGATACTGGGCAACTTCTGGTCTTCCACAGGGCTTTTTCTCTGTAGCCTTGCAGGAAGCTGATATTGGAGTGGAAATCCTCAGTCCTTCATTTCCCTTTGATGACAAACACCTTGGCATTCTCCATCAACCTTTGGCTAAACCTTACCAGGCACTTGGGATAAATGGGAAAGGCAGGAAAATGAGGCTAAGCCAATTATCCTGCTCAGCTTTTTTTTGTCATCTAGGGTACAAATTGCTCTTATTGGTACCTCAATTGAGCAAAAATACACAGGATGGTTTTCTGTGGGTGTCAGTGGAGATGTCAGGGCTTCTTGGAGGTTTCTGTGTGTAGGAAAAGCATTTTCAGGCTGTTCAGAGGGAGCAACATCAATGGTGGCAGCACAGAAGAAATAATGAGTGAAAGAGTGGAGGGGAAGGTGGGAAATGCCCTCATTGCCAGAGCAGGGAGAGCCACTGGGATGATTTGCACTTTTTATGCCTGGGAGGATGAAATGGAATTGCCAGAAGAGGCAGAGAGGAAAGGGGAACTCGTTCTTACACTGAGATGTTAAAAGTTGTGATCTCTCTGGTGCCTGCCTTTGTTCCCCAGAACAATTTGGTGGTGTCACATTTTGAGAACTAAATATCCCTCTTCATCCTGCCTGTGATCTGTGCTCCTGGGGGAAGCTGAATCCTTGAATTCTGATTGCAGGCAGAAGCAGAGCTGGAATCTGTGTGGTAGCCAAGCACAGAGCTCCTTCCTCAGTCCAGTTTTGATCCTGAGGCTCTCCCTGCAGGATTCCTTGGGGGATAAGGCAGAGGATGTGCTGAGCTGTGTTTTCTGTGTGTAGGGATGTTGCCTTGCTCTCATCCCCACCAAGTTCTCTGAGGATGGGCAGGATGAGTTTCCAGGACCTGCCAAAACGTGCAACTGTGTACATAGATTTGAGAGATGCTGAGCCACCAAAGCCAGTGACAGTCCCTGAAGAGGAGCAAAGGTAAATCCTGGCTTCATTGGGAGTGAGAAATAAGTAATAAAAAGTGAGAAACTGAAACCTTTCTGAATCTCATGCTTGTGAAATGTAACTTTAAAAATGTTCTTTCACACCTCTGTCATAAGGAGAAACCTTGTAGTTAATAAACAGCTACTAGGTAATAAACAGGTAAACATTTTGTTCTAGTTGCTTGAATATTTGAATTTTCTTTTTGCTAGAGTAATAGTGTGAAGGACTCTCCATAACACCCAGAGATTGTCCCTGGAAGTATCTCTCCCTTTTTCCTCATTTTCTAAATTTGCATCCTAGAAATGACCAAGAGCCAACACTCAGCTAGAACAGGGTTAATTAATGTGTACTGATTGTTTCACAGTGCAAGTGACAGCTCCTCCTCCTCCTCCTCTGAAGAAGAAGAGACTGTGACAATTCAGGGTGAAGCAGAAAGGAGAATGTAAGTTTCCTTATCAGGACTGTTTTCCAAGTGATATGATGTTAATTTTTTCTGAAACTAAAATAATTGCCCTAATAATGATCAGAGTGAAAGTTTGTGTACTTAAATATTGCCATTCCTGGTCTTCACAGCAAAAAAAACCCCAAAAAACCAAAAAAAATCACCACCAAAAAAAGAACCCAATAATGTAAGTGCTCCAGTGTGGCCCCAGGAGGTCACTCTTTCCCTGTTGCATGGTAAAGCTACCAAAGGTAGAGAGTTGTTGATCCCTGAGGCAATATTTGCACCTGTCCAGCTGCTTGGGACAGCTCAAAACACAGCCAGAGGTGCCCTGGGGGCTGGAAAATGTGAGTTTTTCTCCAGCCCTGTGTGAGTGACACCAAAACTGTGTTTGACAAGCCTCAGAACCAAACTTTGGAAATGTTGTAGGGAGCTGAGTCAGACAAACCTTTATTTTTATAAATAATAAGATAGGCTAGAATGGATAGATATTTAAAGAGAATATTGACTACATTGTATGGACAGGGACCCTCTTAATTGGAAGGCACAGGGAAGAGAAATGCTCTTGGTGTCAGCAGGGCAGGATTCTGATCTCATTCATGAGGGGACTATCCAGTTTCATTTTTATCTGGAACAAATTATGAAGCAGGAATGATTATTCTGTGCATGTAGATTATGTCAGGACAGGACATTCCACTACCACAGTAATGTGCTTGCTGACAGTTTAGCAGTCTCACTGAGGAAATTAGGCCAAGCATTCAAAAACTGTAATAATTATTAGAAAAACTTTTCATCTGTGTGTATTTGAACCCCAACCCCTGTATCCAAAGGGGACAAAAATCTATAGGCTCTGATTTCCCTGACAACCATACATTTGTTCAGGGCTGTTCTGGCAGGTGTTTGTGTTGTGCCTGAATGCAGAAGAGGTAAATAAATTGCCAGGAAGATCAATTTTGTGTTCTGGCTCTGCTTGTGTCACCTGAGTGCTGATGCTATGTGGTATTTTTGGGGTCCCCTGTGGCAGGAAGGAAATGATGAATCTGACTCCATGTTCTTAGAAGGCTAATTTATTATTATATTATATCATATATATAATATAATATAATATAATATAATATAATATAATATAATATAATATAAATTATATTAATTATATTGTATTTATTATATTGAAAAGATACAGACAGAAGGCTGAACAAGATCCTAATTAAAAACTCGTGGCTCTCTCCTCAGAGTCCAACGCAGCCTGACCATGATTGGTCATTAAGTTAAAACAATTCACATGTTGGATAAACAATCTCCAAACCACATTCCAAAGCAGCAAAACAAAGGAGAAGCAAATGAGATAATATTGTTTTCCTTTTTCTCTGAGGCTTCTCAGCTTCCCAGGAGAAGAAATCCTGATGAAGGGACTTTTCCAGAAAATATGACAGTGACATTGCTACTGTCACCCCTAGTTATTTTCCTGTAGATGCCCAGTCCTTGTTTTGAGCTCTCATCGTATGTGAAGTTCCTCAGAGATAGAGTTTATTCCTATAATGCTTTATCTTGATGAAATCAGGTTTTTATTTCCTTTGCAGGAGGAATTGCTCAGGGAAGAGCCTGTTACTGCAACAACTCCGAGCAGCCCGGAAGGAGGCCTTGGAGCTTCTTCACAAAACATCTCTTCCAGCTGAGAAACTGCAGCCAGAAAGGCTGGAAGACACAGCTTCCTCTAATAAAAGTCAAAACCAATCTTGTAAAGTGAGGCAAGAGACAAATGAGGTGGTTCCCAGGAAACTGATGAGATTGGAACCAGGCAAGGAAAGTCTCCCCTTTTCAAGCTGTGGGGGTGACAGAGCTGACACAGAGAAAGAGAACAAAATGGAAGCTGAGAAGATTCCAAATGCAGGAAATGCTCCAGAGTGTCCTCTAATTACAGCAGAATTGCCAAGGTATATCCCACAGGAAAACTAATCAGAGGGTTTGGATGTGGCTTCTCTAATTGCCCAGGATTAAGAAAATTGCTTACCTGGGCTGTGAGCTGGAGCAAGAGGGTGTCTGGATTTGTTACCTGGCAAGAGCAACAGTCCTGGCAGCTGCTGCTGGAAGGTTTAGAGGCAGCCTCAGTGGGGCCTGGCATTAGATGAGGCTCTTCTGACATTGGAAATTGAGCCTTTTTCTTTAGCTTTTATTCTACAGAAAAAGAGGATAACACAGTATTGATCTCCTTTAGGAACAACAGCACTGAGGTTTCCTAAGCACAGCTTCCTAGAAAATAGGTCTGGAAGGGTCAGTCTCCCTGTGCCAATAAAGAGTGAGGTGAAATCTAATATCTCCTGGCAGATCTTTATAGAACTTGGTCTTGAAATCCTCAATGGTGAGGATTCCTTGACTCCCAGGTAGTACATTTTGTTGTTTAATTATCCCTAGAGTTGTAAAGCTTTTCATTAAGTCTAATTTGAATTATTCCCTCTCCAATTTAAGCTTATTTTTGTTGTGTTCCCAGAAGGAATGGAAAATGGTTTATTCTGTGACTCAATTTAAAACACCTTTTACAAACTGGAAGATGTATCAGTCTCCCCTTGTATTTTTTTTTTCTTCCAAACAAAGGAATTCTGACTCTTTGCCAACAAGAAAAGTGCAAGATCTTGGAGTTACAAAGTACACCTGTGAGGAATGCCACAGGCATATCTTGGAAAGCTTTAAAAAAATAGAAATAAGAGTGATATAATTGAGGAAATTGCAGAGTTATTTGGGCCTCTGCCTCCCTGGGCTTAGTTAAATGTAGTGTATTCTGCTGAAGGTCTAATTTCAAAGTGAAATCAGGTGATTGCCTTGTGCACCTGCCCAACTGTTTGGGAGAGCTCCATTATGCTGCCTTTTCAAAGGTTATATCCTGCTATTTTCAGAGTGAAATTTAACATTCTGACTTTGACATATGAGCCCTGGAAAGAATCAGGATCTGCCTGCTCTGGAGACTATTACTGTGTCAGAGTTAAACACTTGCCTGCCCTGCCACTTAGACACCTCAGCTCCTGTGTACCTGCCTGAAATGGTAGGTGGTTGGTTGCAGGGTTTTTTCCCTCTGAAATTCCTGACATTAAGCTCATTGCTTCCATCAGGAATACTAAACTGCATTTTGATTACCTGTTAGCCCATGGCCAGGCAAGAATGTGGATTATTTACTGTCTCTGAATGATAATTCACTGATTTTTACTGATTTCAGTTTTCTCTGTTGCTGTTCTAATTATTGATGGGGCACCTGGGGCTGGAAGAATTCAGAAAAAATTGAACTTTTTGTTTGCCATGGAAATGGCAGATGAAATCTTTCTGTGGGCATCCAGATGTAGAAAGATGCGAGGTCTTGGGGTCAGGGGAACTTTATCTCTGTCATCTCCTATAGCAGATAGGAAAGGAAATGGGTCTAGACTGGGAATCTTGGTGTGGAGATGGGGAGGGACACATCACAAACACATCTCAGCTTAAAGGAGTTTGCATCTCCACATAGATCATCACCACTTATCAGAAGTTTGATCTCTGCTCCTTTTCTTTGAGGTGTTTTTCTTCTTAGAGAGATGATTTCATCCACTGACAAGTTCTTGTGTCCCCCCACAAACACCAGAATTGCTCTCTAAATCTATTTTAGCCTTTCATGTCATGATTCCCCCTCCAGTGTGTGGTGTAAATACAAGGAAAAAAAAGTGCAACCAGATCAATGAGTGGCTTTTTTCCCCCCAAGTGAAAAGCTTAATCTGTGTATTTTCCAGGAGAGAAGGAAGTGACAGAGAGCTATCCCAAAAGGAAGAGGAGATGAAGGAGAGGCAGAGGAGATGCAGATTGCAGGAGCAGCTGGAGCAGTGGCAGCCTCAGCGCTCGGTGTGGGGGAAGCAGCCCATGGCAGAGAACACCCCGCTGCTGTTCCACAGGGTCAGTGCCTCAGGGTGGGCTGGGCTTGGCAGGGTCCTGGTTTGAACAGCCAGGTGTCTGCTGAGGAAGGCAGGAGCCTCCCCTGAAATGGAAAATGTAAACCCCCTCCCTCTGAATTACTGTAATTTTGAAATTAAGGGGCTCTCAGCAAAGATATGGGAGTAGGAATAATAGCTTTTTTCTAGGAAAACTAAAAATGAATACAAATGCAATAGTACAAAAAAAACCAGTGACAGAGTCAGAGCAGTCCCTGCCCCCTGTGTGTCAGGGAGGTGTCCCAGCCCCATGCCATGGGGGCTCAGCCCTCCTGCAGTGCCAGCTGTGGCTCTGCTGCAGCAGGGATCCTGCACAAGGGGGGAGTTTTCCTCTGCAGCTCCAGGGCTGCTGCAGATGGGCCTGGGCTCCCTCTGGCCATGCAGGGCAGCAGAAAGCTGCTCCTCTGGCAATGCAGGGGGCAGAGGCTGCTGTGCTGTGCCAGGCCCAGATTGGATCCAGGCAGGAATGCTTGGCTCCTGCCCTGGGCAGAGCATCTCCCCGTGGGATGCTGGAATTGGATCAGCCCTGCAGGGACACTCAGTGGCCATGGACAGCAGAGATCTCCTGGAGGGAGGGTTGGCTGTGGGAGAGAGAAAGAAAAAACTGCCCATGGACAGCAGAGAACTGCCCCAGCTCTGACAGATGGGAACAGAACACAGCCCCAGCCTAAGACACAGGGGCTCCCTGCCAGGGGCAGCTGGGAGCAAAATGTCATTTTTATTGCATTGCTTCAAATCTGTTTGTTATGGAGCACCATTAGCTGAGGAGAGGAGCAGCCCTACAGCTCTTCTCTCACACTAAGGGAGAATTCCCCACTTTCCTGTGCAGGGAGAGCTCCCCAAGCAGCTCCCTCCAGTTCTGACCTGTCAGGGCTTGCTGGAATCAGTGGCTCAGTGTCATCTACTTCACAGCAGCCAGAGTCTCCCACATGATTTTCATAACTTTTCCTAAAAAAGTACAATATTTTTACTGTCTCTGCTGAGTCCTGTTGTCTGCCCACAGCAGCTTTATAGTTAACTTTTTTGGGTTGGTTTTGAGGATTGTGGGTTTAATAATAGGTTTTAGTCCTGATTAAGGGGATGTGAAATGATCTTGATTTTAGCCAAAGCCTAACTATGGCTTGGAGGACAAGGCTGTTGTTACTCCTCAGAAGATTTCTCTCTGTCCCTGCCCTCAGCAGAAATGAGGGGTTGGAATGAGGTGAGCTCCAGGATCACTCCCAACCCATTCCATGATTCTATTACAAGAATTCTGCTTCATCCATGCACTGATTCTGCTGAGCACAAGGTGAGAAGGTGAGAGGAGGTGAGAAACTGCAGAACCACCATGAATCCACCATAATTATTTCTCTGGGTTAATGCCAATAACAAAACTTTTTTGTCAGTACAAAAGTGGAAAGACTTCACACCCTAGATTTGGGGCTGGACCATTTAGGTTTGTTTTGTAAATTGATTGCTGTGGTTGTGGAGATTTGAAAGCTCATTTTATTTAGCACTGGAATAGTCAGTGAGGAGGAGTAAAGGGCTAAAAAGCTCCCAGCTGAGTTCCCCTCTGCCAGCCTGCTTTGACAAGGAGAGCACAGCACCCATAGCTCTGCTCTGGAGTGTAAAAGTTGGATTTGCTCCTCCCTGGCTGTTGGCAGGTACCACCCACTTCCAGTTAGCCTTGATTAAGATGCAGACACTCTTGCTCCTCAGAAATCCACGTGGGCCTTGCTCTCTCATTCCTGACGATGCACCGACAATGCAGAATCACCCTGTTTGGTCATTTCCCATATCTGCTGGGCTGATGCCAATAAAATGAGGATGGGCTTGGTGATGAGCTTTGTCTGTAGCAGAGCTCAGGGTGGATCTGTGCTGGAACTGGAGCTGTGAGTGTTCCCCTGAGGGATGGGAGATGTTCCAGCTGTGGCAGCAGGGACAGGGGCATTTCCCACCAGCCCAGGCTCCTGCTGGGCTGCTCGAGTGCCCAGAAAGAGGGACAGGGACTGGTCACAGACAAGAGAGGACACAGGGCGGGGTTAAGGTGGGATTTTGGGAACAAATTCTTCCCTGTGAGGGTGGGGAGGCCCCTGGATCCCTGGCAGTGCCCAAGGCCAGGCTGGAGCAGCCTGGGATGGTGGAAGGTGTCCCTGCCCATGGCAGGGGGGTGGGATGAGAGAATCTTTAGGGTCCTTCCCATCCAACCCATTCCAGTGCCAGCCTGCTCCAAGGGACCTGCCTGACCTCCCAAGGCACCAATGATAACAGGAAATCAGCACAACCCATAATAACCATGTTGTCCTGGCAACTCTGCTCCTAGTTCTTATTCAGAAATATTCATTATTAAAATTAAATTCATTATTAAAAAATGTATCAACATCATCTATCAAATACAACAGTCCTTTATAAGATTACTTGAAGTCTGCTTTGATAGCAGCACTTTTTCCCTTTGAATTTGAATAGGGTTTTATTTTCTTTCTTTTTTTATGAACACAGAAAATTTTGACTGTTTTGACATTTAAAACTAAGAGCCCCTGTAATTTGGCAGCTATGTCTCAGTGAAAATATCTAATATCTATATATAAACACATATATTCAAAGAAAAAGCCCCAGTGTTTGACAGAGTAGCACACTTGCAAATTTGTTTTGTAAGTCCTTTGTTTTGGCAGTGATAGATGTTCAGATCTGGAACACTTGTCACAGTTTCCAGAATTCTTCTGACCATTTATAATGTACATAAATAATTGAATTGAATAATAATCAGAGGGAAAGTTTAGAAACTCTGCAATTACTGTAGCTGAGGTGCTAGGAAAGACTGGCAAAGGAAATTAAAAAAGCTGCATTAGGGTTACATTAGAGTTCTTGTCTAAAATGTAAAAGCAGATTTAATGTGCTGTCTCCTTTTTCTTAACCCAGTTCAGTCAAACTCTGTCCTCAGCTTCACTCTGAGAGTCAGGGCTGGGGAGAGGGAACTTGAGAGACTGAGAATTCACTTCCAGGGGCACTTCAGGGGCTGAGATCCAGTGGATTTTCAAGACATGCAGGTGCCAATTCCCTGGGAAATCAGTGGGTTCTTTCTAAGAGTTCTGCCTGTCAGGTCCATGTCTGGAGGTGTCTGAATACTTGGGCAATCTGGCTCACCTCTTGGTTTTAAAATAATTCAGGGAAGAACCTGGTTTTTTTGTTAATGCTGTGTTTTGGATTCATTTGTTTGGTTTTTTTTTTTTTTTTTTTGAGAGGGGAGGGGGTTGTTTGTTTTTGTTTTGTTTTTTCCTGTTCCTCCCCACCCAAACTTTTGGTGAAATTTAAGACTGGTATCTGAAATTGGGCCCCAACCATATTTTAGCCTTTAAATCTGGTTCAGAACTGATGCCAGCACCTGGAGTTCTGTGAAGGCCAGCAGAGTGGTGATGAGATCCTCACTGTAGGGTCAGGCTGAATTAGGAGTTTAGAGGAACTGCACAGGGTTTGTTTAATGATGTGAGCAGTGTTATTGATGAGGGAGACAGAAGGAATGCTCACAGGATGTAAAGCAGCTAAATGGAGGATGTAAAATGAAATGGGTTTGATCTGTCACTTCATTCACCTTGCTTGGTATGATCAGTAACTTGGTGCTGGTGTTGTTTTCTGTCACATTCCCATTAGGTGGCATCCAGATAATGGTGGGAAATTTTGCCACTCTCAGAGCTGAGTTTTGTGTCAGGAGCAGCACAAGCAGGTTATTCTAAGGATATCACAGGATTCCAGACCAGGATGGGTGGGAAGGGACCTTAAATCCCATCCTGTCCCACCCCTGCCATGAGCAGAAACATCTTCCACTATCCCAGCCTGGCCTTGAACACTGCAGCCAAACCCCTGCATGACCCATCCAGCCCTGGCATTCACTTCACACAGAACAACTAGAATTTAGCTTGTACTCATCTCCTTTATTATTGGAAAAAAGTAATGTTTTCAGCAGGGCTTCAGCTTGATTCTGCATTTATTGCTTTATCATGATATGGCAGAACAGGATAATGTTGTTGGAGAGCTATTAGGAGCCACCTTGTAAGCAGCCCCTCATAAACAGAGTTTTATCTCCCTTACACAGCCAGGGTGGTTGGGAAATGAATGTGTTGACTCACACTGAGGCATCTCATTTTTCTTGACATTCACAATCACTTGGGCTAACCTTGTATTAGTAATTATATTACCATGATCCTCATCTCATTGCAGCTTAGCCTTACAGCTGCCTTACACAACAAAAACATCCAGGCACAACAGAGTCATTCTACCTTAACAAATAGATGATGTGGATACTTTCCTTTCCATCTTGTAAACACAGGCTCCATCACCTTTTTGTCAAAATCAGCAGGTTCTTTATGTTAACACCCCGTTGACTCAGCTCACTGGTGTCAGGGAGAATTCTCAACCACAAGATGTTCCACTTGTATTGCAACAAAATCAATTCTTTATAGAATTTTGTCTTGAAATCTTCAATGGTGAGGATTCTTTGACTTCTAGGTAGTACATGTTGCTGTTTAATTATCCTGAGAGTTGTAAAGCTTTTCATTAAGTCTAATTTAAATTATTGTCTCTCCAATTTAAGCTTATTTTTGTTGTGTTCCCAGAAGGAATGGAAAATGGTTTATTCTGTGTCTCAGTGTTTTAAAATCTCAGTGTTTTTACAAACTGGAAGATAAAATTACCAATATATCATGGTCAAATCCTTCCTTGCCCTTTGATGGCCTTGTTCTCTCTTTGATCCTCTATTTCTTCAGGGGAAAATCCCTGACAAAATTCATATTTATCACCCAGAGTGGTGCTGAAGTGCTGGACATTCTGCTACTGGGAGAGTTACCCTGCATCAGCACGATCTGCCTGAAAGTAGGGATTGATTTCCAAAACTTATAAAGTATTTTTAGTTCAGTTACTGGCCCCAGAAGTTATTTTTAAGTAGGAGGTGCCTTGATCTCAATTTGTCAGTGAAATGCTTTTGATTCTTTA